GTTGATGTGACGAATTAGCCAATCAAATGATGTGTTGAATCAAGCTCTTGATGTCCAGCATAAGGAACCGTGGGTAAACATTCGTCACGAAAGAAAAAAAATCAAGCGCCGATTTGTAAATCGAATAACGAAATCATATAGTCAAAATATTCTCGTATGACCCCTGGCATGACCCCCACTACTTCTTCTATTAGTGTTTAAAGGACAGTCTTGGTGACAGACAATATTACATATGTGATAGAGCCGGTTAAACACATTCCAAATATAATATTAATATGAAAATTTATTGACATGTACAGTACATTTAAGTAAAACATGTTTAAAATATGTAATATTTAAAAACCGCTTACAAAAATACATGTATACAGGTGTAGGCCTACTCATAACAAATCACATAATTTCATCAATATCATCATCACTATTAAAATCAATGTCACTGTCAGCATATGTTTGGCTGTCACTTTTATATTCGAACAATATAAACAAATCCATACAAGAAAGTTTTCACTTGTAACAAGTACATGCAGCTTTTTGACTGGGGATGCAAGGGCCGCAGCGACATTTTCAGCCAGGAGAATCATGCGGAAATAATTCATAGGCCTACATATTTTTTTCAAAAATAAAAAATGCACTGTGCACTTGTTGTACCAACTTATCTATTTCGGTTCTATTTTTCTCCATAACAACTTGGGTATGAGTACTGCACAATATAGGCCTATTTCACTTCAATGGTGACACAGTCTTTAGTCCATTAGTGGTCTTCTGTCTTTGACTGAGTGGACTTCTATTGGTCTGAGTGGTCTTGGGCCGAGTAGTCCTTGGTGAGTAGGTCTGGGTTGTCATGCATTTTAGGAGAATGAATATCTTCATCAGCTTGCATTTGCAAGAAAATGAGAAAATGTTAAGATATGATCCCTTTAACAAATTAAAAAGACCTATTATTCTTTTTCTTGTTTTGCTCCTTGTTTCTAAACATCACTTTCTTCAATAATTTTGGAATCGTGATAATGTTTCATACACAGTTGTGTTTACGTTGGTAACATGGAATGTGAGAAGTCTGTATTTATAGAGCGGGAGCCCAGGGAGATAACCTAGCTGAAAAGTGTACCAATTGTCTCCTATATGGTATCAATGTATGTATATCTGGTATCATCAGAATGTAAGTCTGCCGGGTTTCTGGTGGTGGGTGTGGTATTCCACGCCCAAAATGCCATGCCCCCCAACTAGTCTAGATTAGCTCAAAAGTGCGATTTTCAGGTGGTACACTTTTGAGCTAATCTAGACTAGTTGGGGGGCATGGCATTTTGGGCGTGGAATACCACACCCACCACCAGAAACCCGGCAGACTTACATTCTGATGATACCAGATATACATACATTGATACAATATAAGAGAAAATTGGTACACTTTTCAGCTAGGTTAACCCCCTGGGCTCCCGCTCTATAACCTCACATCTTGTTTCCAAGCTAAAAAGAAGTCTGATAAAAGGAAATCCATTTGTGACTCAAAAACTTAACCCACATTGTGGGTCAACAACATCTTTCTAGAACCAATCTGATTAAAAAACAGATCTATATTTCATTTCGTTTTTATACTTTCGATGGCCTACACTACAAGAAGATCTGACAAGTTGTACTATAGGGTCGTATCAGGGGTCGTACGAGCGGCATTTGATTAATCGATCATCGTTGACGTTTCTAGTGGTTTACCCACTGTTCCGTGCATGACAGCCAATAAGTCGCCGTAACAGACCGTTTAATTGGCTTATCCCTCACTCCAACCAAAACGGCCTGTCCAGCCTCGTGGGTTTTCTCCGGGTCCTCCGGTTTCCTCCCACTGCTAAAGACCCCTACGCGCAAGCGAATTATTGAAATAAAATTAAACCATATGTTAGTCCCGAAATGACCTAGTTTGTGTCGAGTGGACGTTAAACCCCATTTCTCTCTCTCTCTCTCCAACCAAAACGCCGTTAATATAAAAACCCTTCCAGGTCCTAGTGTAGTGAAGACAAGTAAAACGAAATTTTGAACTATAAAAAACGAAACGAAATAGGATCCGTGTTTTAATCAGGTTGTTCTAGAACCTTCTTGTCTTTTAGAAGAGGACACTATTTTTCCTTAAAATCTTGAAAATGTTTAAAATTTTCTCCGGACCCCAGTGCACCTATGCGAACCCCTACGAACTGCTAACGAATACAATGCATGACAAACTTTCATGTATGTACACCCAAAATTCGAAACACGTCAGAAACGTTATCTCTTTTCGGAACATTGTGACAGGGGCCAACGGAGGTGCGGATAACTTAATATATATATATAATATATATATAATATATATAATATATATATAATAATCTATTTATAAAGCGCTGAATATCCAACAAACTGGTTGCTCAAGAGCGCTATCTACATAAGACATATTTAAAAGATGAAAAATAACCATGATACGATAAACATTTAAACACAAGGAATGAACAAAATAAAAAAACGCAAAACATCAGAGCACAAAACACACACAGCTGCCACTAAGGCGCTTTACAAAATTGAGAAGCGGGTCGCGGTGGAAGGTTTCAAGTGAGCAGGACTTCCTGAATAATTTTCTCGGTTCATAATGGCTTGTATTAATAAAATTTCTGGGGAACAATAGAGGAAAAGTAATCAACGTCACCAAAATACTGAGATAATGACTTTCTCTGTTTATAATCAAGTGTTTGCCGAAACACTTACCGAAACGGAAATATCTAAATACATCCGTTACGCATTTATCAACATAATGTCATAAAAAAAGTCACACATTGTCGTGCACATTAAAGATCCCTAGGCAGTTGGAATTCGATATAAGAGTAGGCCTTAGCGCCGCTATCCGGACAAAATTTCCCTCATAGCACGCTGTTTTGCGTATGCCCGTTTTCATTAGCCCAGTCGGAGCAGAACAGTATGACGTTAAGCTCGGTTCATACTACATCCGTATCTGTAAATACGTGCGTGAATGTACTGGTATACTTTAGTCATTTTTAGAGAAAGGGTTGAAATAGAATCAAAACAACTACCGGATTGATTGCTCCCAGAGCGTATTTTTGTAAAGTGTGTCCGGCATTTCGGCTAGTGAGCCGAGCTTTAGCCAATCAGCGAGTACTTTCCCCTTATTACATCATCTCCCCAAATAGAAACTCAATCCATTTCAAGAAAAGCCTGGCCTTGTGTGCTGTGGATTTGTGTAGTCTTGTGAAGAACACAACATGGACAAGACAGAGGAAATAATCATCCTTGTGGAGAAGAAATCCCATACTATATTACAAAACCGAAAGACTTCCTCTGTGTCACTGTTAGACTCCATGATTGCAAATGACAATATGTTATCTCTGACGGACAATTCAGCCTTGAAAGCCGGACGTTTTCTATTTGAACGGCAAAACGCGGATATGGATGTTGGTGCGGATGCGGATACGTTTAAGGATACGTATGTAGTATGAACCGAGCTTTAACCCCATTCCATTTCATGTCATTATTTACTGGGCCATCGTGGCTCCCAAGGTACTGTGACTACAAGAGCAAACACGGCCAACTGTAAAGCGTTTACAAGGATTTGGTGACGGGGTGTAGTAACTCCGCTAAAAATCGTTGCGTTAATATAAGAGACAGACCACCAAATATTTTCCAACTGACATTAAATTAACATGAACTCCAGACCACCATTAAAGATACCTTCCCGCGTACAAACTGGTTGATCTGATGATATATTTGTCCTAAAAACATATTTAAACTAATAATCTATTTAATTGCCAGGCTGCCAATTAGTGGCACCTCTTATTTTGGTCTTGTGAGTGCACTATTGCTGTTTTTCAGTGAATCCAGTATTTTTCTAGTAAGAATCGGTGTCTCCACTTTTCATCCAAATGTTTATTTGAATAGCCACCCGATAAATATTTTTGTGGGAAGGTATCTTTAAGTTCCACATTGACTCAAAGTCAATTCTGTTCCAATCTAATTAAAATACAGGGCCCTTATTCACGAAAACTTATACTAAGATACAATCGAAATTTTAAGAAATACTGCAATTCGATTGGCTGGCCAGTAAAATCAATTTGCATATATCCAATAAAGTTGCAGTTTTTCTTAAAATTTCGGTTGTAACTTAGTTTAAGTTTTCGTGAATAAGGGCCCAGATCTATACTTCGTTTCGGTTTTTTTTTATACTTCCGATGGCCTCTGCTACATGAAAAACTGGCCAGTTGTAGTGGGAGGTCGCGTCAGGGGTCATATGGGCTACATCTGACCCTATGATGTCAGATATTTGATTAACCAGTCAGTGTTGATGTTTCTAGTAGGATACCCACATTCGCGTGCATCGCATGCCAATGGCTAATCCCTCACATCAATCAGAACGCGGGTTATATAACAACTCTTCCAGATCCTAGTGTAGTAAAAACAAGTAAAACGAAATTCTGACCTATAAAAAACGAAACGAAATAGGATATGTGTTTTGATCAGATTGATTCTGTTCTCAAACTTTTTTCAAAATTTTAGTTGGCCTGTGCGCTGTTCAAAACAGACAGCAACAAGTGGCCATGTCTTTGCTCTAACTTGCGTAGGAGGTTGATCACTGAAATTTTGAAATGCACAAATATGCCTCTAAGCAAGACGTTGCTCCATCGGTGGCAGAATTCCACCCAACAAAACTTTGAGAAAAGCCAGTCAAAGAGACGAAAATTAACTAAGAACCCGACACAATTATAAAACCTAGCAGATTTTAAGCACACGAGTTCCCCGTAAAATATAAAATGCGGAGAGAGAAACATTAGTCCCGAAATTATCTGCCTGTAGTTTGTGTCGAGTGGACGTAAACCCTGTTTCTCTTTTTCAGAGAATTATAATATATGTTATTGTATTTACTGTGCATGCTAACCAACTGACCTGCCCATGAAATAATTTATTTAACGGATATTAACTCATTTATACATAATCAGTATTACTATATAGCGTCATTGCCTGCCTTTCCCCGCAGTAGTTGAAGTTGTAGACAGATGACTAGAGGAGTAAGTAGAAAGCTATATAGATAATTAGTTAACCTATCACGTAAGGCGACAAATTGAGATAAAACACATAATATGTATTTTCTTAAAGAGGTTTTGGAATCTGTGAATAGGTCGGTTAATAAATTAAAAAGTCGAATAAAAAGAAACATGTGCAAAAAAGTAAATGTAATCTTGGAAAAAAAATCTAAACTCGCTGCTCCCGGTGGAAACAGCAACTTTATCTTATATAAAGATTGGTCACACACAAAAATATAATGATCATATTCACCAGTTTTATTTCAACTGCACTGGTTGGTTATTGTTTGAGCGAAATACTTTTATTGACTTTTAAACGTTTAACGATATGGCACTTATAAACATTCTAGAACTTTACGGTCATCCACTGACATTTTTTCATTACTGGAAAAAAGGGCCAACCTTTCAAGTTATGGAGGGAAAACTTTTTCGTTTTAAGTACGAAAGCAGTTGAATTCCACGCCCTTTAGCACCCGCTGTTGCGCCGCTTGAACAACTTTTAAACCTAAACTTAGAACTATTTTATTCCAAGAGGCTTTTAATTATTAAATTAATCCTAAATCCTACCCATTGTCTGTATTTTTCAGCTTTTATAAATATTTATATTTAACTAATTTACAGATGTTTATACTTTACTGGTTTCATTGATATTTATACTTTACTGGTTTCATTGATATTTATACTTTACTGGTTTCATTGATATTTATACTGGTTATATCGATATTTATATTTTACTGATATTTATTTATTTTTTACTGATTTTATAGATATTTATTTATTTTTTACTGATATTTATTTATTTTTTACTGATTTTATAGATATTTATTTATTTTTTACTGATTTTGTAGATATTTATATTTCCAATATAAGCGCACCTGAACACGTATGTGAACGATAGTGCTATATAAGTGTTATATAATAATAATAATAAATAATAGCAATTTAATCAAACCCAATATTACTTTATCAGAAACGTAAAATGTTACACTGTGGCTTTATCAGTTTTTGGACAAAGGCATTGACGATGCGTGGATGAAGAAGATTGTTCATTCTTTTTAAGCTTTTTAAAGGGTTTAAAAAACTTCTCGAAATCGTGACTGAGTTAATTTATTCGATTATTTCATAACTTAAATCGCCCTTCCGAGTATTTTTAAATACCACGAAGACTATTCTGGTGTTTTTTATTTAGAACCAACTGGGATACTGAAACTGACACGAGTGAATTTTGCCAGCACAGTGGTGTGTCTGCCTACTCTTAGTTGATGGCAACAAAATCCGAGGTCCCATATACATACTGGCATGCACGTAAAAGAACCCTTGACAGTTAAAATTCGAAATAAATGGTATGAAATTGTATGACTGCGATACAGAACTTGAGTTCAGCAAAATTTTTTAACAAGCGGCTGTACAGATATGAGCACAGTTTGCAAGAGATAGGCGGAGAATGGAAAAACAGAAGGTGTCAAACCCATTCTTGATTGGCGTGTAAAGAACATGCTATATTTGGGGCGGTATTTAGAATGGAATACATTTTGTGGCTTCTAAACGTGATTAGGGGCCATAATCCAGAAAGTTGCTGTCAGATGCGTGCCAATTTGGAATCCATACGACAATTGTGGCGTATAATAAACATACATTTCAAGTTCGAGTGAAATCGATTATTCGTACAACCAGGGGAAGTAATATATGAAGTTACGGTCCAATAAGCGCCAAAATTCATATTTTTAGATTTAATAAAAATTGTGACCTCTTGAGTGGCCACAAACAGGTTCGATGGCATAATGTGGCGTATATAATCTTGTCCATAATAGAATTTAACTTGAATTCCGAAGAGTTATATTTCTATTTCGCGGTCACAGTTTTTTTTTACTGATTTGGGTCTTGCATGGGTGACACTGCTGCTGGTGGCCGTAATATGGGCTTTGTTTTTTTTCTCTTTTCAGACAGGAGTTATAGCAAAACGACCATGTATCTGGCTATTTATGATTATGAAACTCAAAATATTGGAGACATCGCATTAACGAAAGGGGATCAAATAGACAGGGTTAAGGATGTCGGGTGTGGGTGGATGATCGGTCACAATATTACAACTAATATGACGGGACATTTTCCAGCTGCTTATGTTCAACTGTCTTCTGAGTGGAAAAGGAGATTGACCTCGATTACTTCTAGAAAAAAGAATTCTCCGAAAAACGACACCACTGCCCAAATGCCCAAGAGGACAATTCCAGTTCCCGTGAACGAAAAACATAACATGGAACCAATAAAAGACCATATTATGTTAAAATCATCAGAGAAGGATAATCTGAAAAGAAGATCAGACACCAAGTTAGTTAAAGACAAGCTTCATCCTTTGGAAAGATTTCGGAAAAAAATCACACCACAAGACAAAATTAAACGTCGCCGACTGAATGTGGCTTTAGGATTTGGTACCGGATTACTTTTAGGAACAGTCCTCTTCTTTGCATTGTTTTACAGTTTCCATTACACTTTGCTGGTATCTGGAATCATAACTGGAGTATCTACTTTTCTTCTTTGCGTTGGGTTGGCCTTTTCAAGTCGGTGTCGGTGTATCATTTTATTGGTATTGCCAAGTCTCGCTACTGGAAAGGGTCGAGCTGCATTCTTGTCCCTTATAACTGGGTTTCTCCTCATGGGACCAGTGATGAACATTACACGGAATGCCAATGAAGTTGCTGCTAGTATGGCATGTATTACAGAACTAGCCTACAACCAGAGTCAAGTACTACAAGATGCACTCAAGAAACCATTAGAAGAAGTTGAGGAGCAGGTAAAAGAGGGCGTTGAAGTCGTAAAAGCATATGCTTCTGAGATAACACGGGAACTTGACAAAGCAAGAAATGCATTAATGTCTGCTGAAAATACCGTGACAGATGTGGTAAATGGTTTTAAAAACGTGAGTTACTTTCTCTAATTCAAAGAATTGTAAGTTCTGACAATGCAATATATTCCCCGCATACAAATTAACATTAAATTTGAATCACATCCCGAAGTTTCTCCGTGGTAATTTTGGGAAATAATATATGCTATGTGTGCTATCAAATCATCGACATGTTATTTATAGCCAACAATAAGATTAATCATATTAATCACCCTATCCCAGTACAATGAAGTTTCTCCGAAATATTTGTTGCAATTTTATGTAATAATATAGATTATTTGTGCTTTATCAAATAATTGGCATTATTAATTAGAGCTAATATTAATATTACATTTGAATCAAATAACAGCTATCCATTAAAGTTTCTCAGAAAATATTAGTGGTAAATTTAGAAATTATATATGGTTGTGCTGTAACAAATAATTGGCATTGTAGTTATATCTAATATTTTGGTCCTAGTCTTGATATTTTTGTTAAAGCGTATAAAGGCAACATTATATTATTGTTCCAAAAAAGGAAATCGTAAAACTGACAATTCCACGGCCCCTTCGCATCTACCATTTATCACCAGAAGGTTTCAACCTCGGATCATTCAGGTATACCACTGAATATGTTTCGCATACTATCTAATACAGCCAGGACAGAGTGTATATTGTTTCATGGAAATTATTATTATTGGCAGAGATTTTAGAGCCAGCACGGACAGCTCTGCTGTTGTTCAGCATATTATGGCGCTGACAAGCCCTCGTATATGTTTTCCGATCTGTACATGACCTTGTTTTAAAATGATTTGAGTCTCGAAATTCTTTAAGAAATCGACAAGCTTTACGTAACGTTATGAGAGAGCATAATAATTATGTCAATCAAACTAATGATCAGAACATACTTTAATATTCCTCTACTAATCAAAGTCACCTGGTGTGAAATTGCAATTCATTGAAAAATATCTGTCGGGCATTTTATTGCTTGTATCAAGATTTCCTTCAAGTTTTTGATATTGTAACAATGAAGTAATTAATTGTACATGGCAGTGAGGTCGGCATATTTTCCCTATCCTATCTTTGTGGAGATGCCAAGACCAGTAAAGAGCCCCAAAATGTTTCGGCTTGGCTGCGGTCGGCCTCACAGACTTCAGAAATTGCTGTATATTTTGGATAGAGCTAGCTCTGTTGCTCTATAAATGACGTTATCCCAAATTTCACAGAAAATATACCAGTTATTCCTGTCTACGACTCAGATCAAAAAGGCTTGCTGGAATCCAATTTTTGGAGCAGCGGTGGCTGAGTGTTAACTGAGTATTTTCTGTCGTGGTTTCACCAAGTCAGCGGTGCAGACCGGCGGGCCTGGCAGTTAAACATGTAATCGTTCCAATGGGACGAACAACCGTGGTCCCGTGTACATATTGACGTGCACGTAAAAAAAATTGACAGTAGAAATTCGAAAAAAGTAGGTGTAGTTCCACTGTCCCGGCATAGTTTTCCTCATAGCACACTGTATTAGCCCAATCTGCGCAGAAAAGTAAAACGCTAAACCCCATTTCATTTCTGTTAAATTTTCTTAAAACATTATATTGAATTGATCTTATATTTTAGAAATGTGTTTCGAGTGTCAATTCCGGATTAAACGAGTGCATGAGAGGTTCTAAAAAACTTAAACAAGATTGCCACCGTTCTCTTGATCCCTTCAAAATGGCAACGAAAGATGTTAAAAATCTTGTCAATACAGTAACGGACTTTTTCCGTGGACGTCGTCGAAGAGATGCGTTTTCTACAAATGGTTATCTTGACCTTAACAGGTATGAACATTATTAGTTTAATTATTAGTTTTCATTTATCCACTACTATGTTCGTAGATTTATGCCAATCAAAGATATATTCTCTTGGAAAGGGAGGCTATACTGTGGATTTATATATCTATTGGCGTGCAGACATGGCGTCAAACAGTAACTCGGGTTTAAAAACGTCATATTCGGGCTCGCACAGTCTCTTGATTTGCCGTTCGTTTGAAACTGGTAGTACCGGATCTAGGGGTGGCAGATTAGGACACATTTGGGAGTCTCATCATTTTGGGATACAAGACTGTGAATTGATATAGCATTTTATTGTTGATTGTTTGCATTTAAGTTTGGAACTTATGTTTTAATACAAAAATTGTGCAATATTTATATTTTATTTAACTTGTGTTACTCGCCAAGAATCAGAGCGCACCAAATCCAATTGAGTCGTATCGTCTGAAGAAACCCAATCGAAAGTTAAATGTGCGCAGATAGTAGTTGGCTAGGCATGAGCGAGAATCGGCTATTATACATGTACTTTTCATTCGAAGCTAGCCATACATTGGTTGCTTTGGATTGTGTCCGCCTACTTCTGGAATATTGTGGCGCCTCTACTGCTCATGTTATCTGTTCTCTATTACTCTTTGACCGCGACAAATCGTTCGATACGCTTCGCAATACCTACGAAAAGCTATTTTGGGCGTATTTCTGTTGCTCAACAACCTCTTTTTCTGTTTTGTTTATTGATTTTTATTTGATTATGTGTCATTTCAGAACAAAGCGTCAGTCGGGTGGTATTGGACGAATATGTGATATATTTTTCGTTGGTGATCAGATTTGTGGCGCGTTTAAAACTATCAATGTATGTTCAATCGTATCATTTCCAAAAGATATAATTAGTGGCGCATTTCGAATTTTTAACGATGCATTTAAGTTTTATGCCGAGTTGCTCGACGTAGATTTTATTAGTTCTGGGCAGATTGACAGTGGGGCAAATGCTTCACAATCAGCCGCCCAAATAATCAGTAATATCCGATCTGAGTTAAAATCTAAAATAGATAAGGCCACATACTACATCAATATTCTAAATAGAGTGGTATCATTATCCGTAATTCTGCTTATTATAAACGCCTTTCTGTATGAAAGGCAGTACCTATCCAAAATATCATTTGATAATTTCTATATTACATCTTATTTTAAAATTATTGATCGGCAACGAAAGGACAATGGTAAAATATCCATATTGCCCCTAAAAAAGAAAGAAAGAAAAATTTACACTGAATCGCGATCCTTTAAGATGTCTTCAATTGAATTAACCAGATGCAAAACGGGGTTAGCCCAGGTCCTTCTGCATGCTGTGATGTGTGTTATGTTGGTGCTCTTTGATTATTTGCTTTATTATATACTAGATCTTCTCAATCGTCATGGCGATGTTCAGTTCGTCTTTACTGGGCAGTCCAAACTCAACATTCAGATCACTGGAAAAGGACCGATTGCTTTGCTATTTAAGACTCTCACGGGCGATATTCGAGTATCTCAGACGTACAATTCGGTCGTTGATATAAATACCTGCCTACCCAAACCCAAGGATCCGAATTTCTCTTTTCTCTACGTTTTTGGGGGACTTTACATGGCCGCCCTGTTGCTTGTTTTCCTTCAAGGTTATGGTAAACGATTAATGTATTTTATCGCGGCCTTTTTCTATCCCGAGAAAGAACAACAGAGGGTTAACTACCTCTACCGAAGAATTTTAGTTAAGAGGAAAGTCTTCCTTAAAGAAGCAAAACAGATGATTCTCTCTAACGCAGTTGGTAGCAATTTTGATGATGGACATAATTTATGCGGAGGGCTTGCTTCTCGATTTCCATTTTGTAGAAAATCGAACAAAACCTGTACTAACTGTGAAGTGTCAAGTGAAGATATCAGTGCTTGTAGAAATGAGAAATGTGGCGCATTTTATTGTGAGGAATGTTTTGTAGAATTTGGCAGGAGTTGTCCTTTATGTACAAATGATGAAGACGATGAAGATGTATATGAAGTACTTGGCCTACGTGAGAAAACAACTAGGGCGGTGAAATCACCGGATTTACCATGAAGTAGGGGTATCCTGTATTGTAAACGATTTTGATTATTTGGCGCTAGGAGTAATAGGATACGCCTACTTTATGAGGTTCACTCACACCTGTCAGACCATAAGATAACTAATTCTGATAATTTCAAATGAAAAACATTTTTAAAGGAAAAAAAACGAACCATCAATTCGCCGATGTATTATTATATGAATACTATTTCAGAGAAACAAACTAATATACTATTGCATTTGCTTTCGTAATTATAGGCCTAATGCATTTTATCTGGTTGATGTTAAAGAACCACATTGCCCTTTAGTATCGATGTTACACTATTTAATCCCAATTGTAACCATAAAGTATGTAATGTTTAAACTTTTCGATTGATATTTATGTTGTTATTGCTCTTGCTTCATTAATTTTGTTCAATTTTTGTTATTTTCATGCAAACTGGATGAAGTGTTTAGCCCAAGTGGATGAAACTGGTAGTGGTTTTATCACTAAGATATGGTTCCATATTTAAGAATAAAAATAGTTAGAACTCATTGACATTGAATACCGCTCGGGTTATTCAATAGTTCAAGAGCGAATATCCCTGCGCAAGTATTCCACGTTATTCACCAATAACGTTAAAATTCATCATAGGTTCCGCCCTTTTTTATACGCCCACATTTTTATGTGGACGTATATTATTGTCGTCGCCCCTAACCCCTATGAAGGTTGTGGACCCTCCAAAGATCACAATTTTCTTCTGATTTTGATAAAACTTGAAATGTAAGTTTATTACCCAAAGATCTTGGATTCTTTCGATATTCGCGCGTATCGGATCGTAACTTCCTGAATTATGGCCCTTGATTGTACAAAAAAATCACGTTTTTAGCTTGCGGTCCCTGTAGAGGTCACAATGTTTATCCGATTTTAAAAAAAACCCAAGAAACGTGTGAATATATCATCATTACACACGAAGATCTTGGTTCCTTTTGATAATCATCACACATATCCGAACGTACCTTCTTGGATTATGGCTCCTGATTATTTGAAAAATTGCATTTTTAGCTTGCAGATTTTCTAGAGATCTCAATTTGTTTCGCCGATTTTAAAAACCGTTTGAATATATCACCATTCCACCATAATGAAGGTTGAATTCGGATTTCTGGAAAAATCAAAATGAAACTGCCCGACAAAATGGCCGCTCTCTGTAGGCCATTTGTGTAAAAGTATGCAATACGAAGGCTGTGGACCCTCTAGAGGTCACAATTTTTATCCGATTTTGATGAAACCAAAAACAGATCTTTATTAATATATCACAAAGATCTCAGTCCCTTTTGATATTTGCGAATTTCATACCATAACTTTCTGGATTATTGCCCCTGATTGTACATAAAATCCTGCTTGACAGCCGTTGTTTCTTTCTTTTTTTAAAAAAATTGTAGTTTGATAGTAGTGACGTCATTACAGTTTGACGTAATTCTGAAAGTGACGCCATTCATTCTGGACAAAAGTAATACGTGTCCAAGCCACTGAATACAACCATAGGTTATTCAATGGCTGTATTCAAAGACTATACAGACATTGAATACAGTCATTGAATAACCTATGGTTGTATTCAATGGCTTGAAAACGAACTACTTTTGTCCAGAATGACGTCACTTTCAGAATTATGTCAACACTAGGCAACTACAATTTTTGGTTTTCGTCCAAGTACATGTACAAGAAAGGGGATTTGCGAATCATCACTACAGATGTACGGCCCTAAATTGGTGCGACAGACATCAGTCCCTCGGACTCCGTGCGTGACCTAGGAGTGATGTTTGATACAGATGGAATGATGGCATCTCAAATTTCCAATACGTGCAGTGCGGCTTCGTTTGGCTTATGGCGAATAGGGAGAATTCGAAAACTATTGGATCAGTCTGCTGCTGAGAAATTGGTTCATGTTTTCGCGTAGATTTCTGTAATAGTCTATTGCATGATCTTCCTGACACAACACTGAAGATACTGCAAAGAATTTGAAAATTCTGCAGCACGGCTTGTGACTCGGACACGTCTCCTACCCCCGTTCTTCGAGACCTTCATTGGCTTCCCATTGTACAAAGATGTCGCTTTAAAATTTTATGTTTAACCTTTAAATTAATTTCCGACCCTTCCGCTCCTGCGTATTTAACAGAACTTATTTGCACGCCAACACCGAAAGATCATCAGAAGCTGTCAGACTCAACTTGCCAAATATGAAGTCCAACAAAACATATGGGGATAGAGCATTATGCACAGCGCACCTTAGGCTTGGAATGAATTGCCTGTTAAAATTTAAAATATTGAAAAATATGAGTCCTTTAAAGCGTCGTTAAAAACGTTTTTGTTTAAAGAATGTTACAACCAATTCTAAATGTTTAGCAATGTTGAAATAATTTGCTTCAACATTCTGCCAACAACATTGTAAAGCGCGTTGAGATATTATTTGTATATTGTAATGCGCCATAAATTATTATTGTTATTATTAATAATTCTACACTATTATTCTAGTCAACTAGATATAGGATTCTATTATATAAATTATTTTTTTTTCCATAAACAATAAATGTTGTCTTATGAACCATTACTGATCTTCCTCAGGCAGAATATATAGAATAAAGTTGTTATTTGACAGCGAATCTGTTGAATTAATAGTTCTTTTCCTTTTCCTTTTCCATCTCCGGTAAATATATACCGATTTTAAGAACGGTGTTAGGGTCAGTTGTAAATAAACAAAATGACAGATCTAGTTTGTGGGTGGAAATCCGTTTCGCTGATGCGTTTGTCAATGACTCTTGACCTGTGGTTTATCAGACTTATTTAATGTATGTCATAATATACTCTCAAGTCATACTAAACGGTTTCATTGGGACTGTTTACTTACTGTTGTAAGCAGATACATCCGACAAACTATTTAGTAAAACATCTAGGTGGTCAAAATTATACCAAATGATTGGAACATTCTTAGCTTTTTGTACGTAAAACAGTATAATCCAAGGTATACTAAATATATATATATATATAAAAAGTCATTAGCTACCTATCTAGTATATTCAGATGTTATAATGCAAGAAAATAAGACACAAGTCATACAGTTTTATAATGAATGTTTAAAACTGCCCTTGTCTTTATTCGCCCGGTCATTGTAGAGAACTAGGCCGTTAAACTATATTTCATTCATTTATTCATTATAAAACTGTATGCCTTGTGAATAGGTACGGTGTAATAGTGGTAGATTATATTTTTTTTATGTTTATTCATTGATTTTTATGTATTTTTAGATATGTCTATAAACAGCTTACTTTAAACATTGAATTCAAATTGAACTAACACTGATATTATCTCTTCGTATGCAATTGCCGCTAAAATAAATAATTAATTTTCCCTTACTTTGTCTCAGCATTTTTGTTCTAGAATTTGAGAAAAGGAATCAAATTTGCAAGTTTATAGCAATATTATTCATATTATAGCGAAGGGGTTGAGGATGTAAACTGTCTTCGGGCACAGTAATCATTGCGTAGGTGGTTACATTTTGACCCCAATCAGTATCAAATCCTCCAAGTAAAGAACTTTAAATGATCAACCCCCTTTTATATTTTGACGAGAAGACAGAACAATATACTATTTGCATATAAAAATTAAAACAAACGGAATGTTGGGAAAAAGTCATAGCATATAATATGATTATATAACAACGAGGCCAATGGAGGCAGACTATCATTAAATTTCACCATCAAGTTCCTTCTATTAATAGTCTATCTTCTCATTTCTCCAATATAGCTTCGGGTCCCCATTGCCAATGGTGCGTGGCGACAGAATTAACAACGAACAGTGTCCAGTCGTTCGGATGGCACGATAAACCGTGTACAAATTGGCGTGCACGTAAAAGAACCCTTGACAGCTGAAATTCGACATAATAGTACGTCGTGGTGCCGCTGTTCGTGCAAAAGTTACCCCATAGCACACTGTATGGTGTATGCCCGTCTTCAATAGCTCACGCGGTTCAGAACAGCGGGTCGTTAAACTCCATTTCATTACATTTGTCTACTTTGTTATGGCAATTTGTGTTGAATCTTTAGCCTAGAATTGGTATTATTGATGGTTTAGAGCCAACAGGATACCTTAGTTGAGAGGTTGTTTACTCTCACAGGTACAGCGGATAGTTACATGTTTTAATATGCTACTTCAGATTGTGTATCTCAAAATTTCACTGGTCAACCACATACAACCTTTGGAGTAAAGTCATGACTAGTTTTCTCTCGGTAATCAGACCAACGGAAATTTGACATTAAATTGAAATCAACATCAATGGAAATTTAATAGTGGTCTGCAACCATCGGTGGAAGTCTAGTTGTCTCCCTTCCACCAGTAATGAGGAATTAAGATGTACCGTATTCTTCCCAAAGAAGTTGAAAAAGAACTGAAATTTTTGAATCTGAAATTTTTAAGTGCACCCCCAGCTGACCTGAACGCGTTTACCCAACAAAGTCTATCCAACTGAATTATAAAAACCTTGAATAATTGAGACTCAAACACATCATATTATGGTTTTCTGTGTTCGAAATTAATATGTAATTTCGGAGACGAGACGGAAAATCCCCTCCCCTATATGACAGATCCATTGTCTTTGATGGGCACCAGCCAAACTTCATACTTATCAAATTTCGTTGAAATCAATTCAATGGTCTAGAAGATGTCGAAAATACCTGACAATTTATAAATTTGCACTGAACATCCCCAAAAATATGTAAATTTGCCATGAACATACCCGAAAATATCTCAATTCGCCCTGGCCACATCCATATGGCTCATTTGATCTAGCAACGCCATTTGAACTAATCCGAAGAAGTCTTCCCAGCCCCTATATCCCTACCAAATACAGGTATATAAAATGCTGTGTGTTATCCTATTTCTTTCCAGGTCAAAGTATCTTTATCGTTATCTATATTTAGATAAAATGCAATGTGTTGTCTCATATTCATCCAGTACGTGGCTATGAATTGTGGTGTTAATTTCTTCTTCAAAGCAATTCACATTTCACATTTGTAAAGATAATCATATTTCCATACTACTCCATGTAGCTATGGAACGATGGTCTTATCATTAATGTTTAATCGACAACGCAGTACAGCTGACCAGCATAACATAGAACAAACTCTACGTACATACAAAAAGCCAATCTAAAAGTTGCATTTGTTTTGGTAAGTTCTTTAAACTGTACGTTTTAAAATTAACTCCTGAATTAGAGATACGTACTCCAACCGAGAAATTGAAGGAAATAAAAACTACCAGAAAATTCTATCTGGATTCAATCCATTAAATCATAATTTAGATCCTTTTTTGCCCATTTTGTGTGATTGGAATCGATGTAACATTGTTGGAACTGAAATTTTCTATCCGGTTATGGTGAACATTAATGATTTTGAGATGAATCTGGAACTTAATAAATAACATTTCTACTGAAGGTTATTGTAACCCAGAAAGCGTAAAACAAGAGTAAGCTCCCAATTAGTAAACTAGTAAGTGTGGCCTAAATAGTAACTTTTGTCATTAACGCTTTCGTGCCGATTCCGCGGGTTTTTTGGTTTGTTTTGGGTTGTTTTCTTTTTTTTTTTTGGAGGGGGGGGGGGATCAATAATTCAAGTCTATATATATTATATAAATTTGTTCGCAAACCTTTTTATTCTCTGTATAAGTCCGTACCTATATTGATAAATTGATTTATGTCCAGTACGTGTGGCCATATTAACGATATAGGCTGTGTTTGCATTGAACAGCTGATCGAAAGCGTGTAACTATGTTTTCTCTCCAGAATCAATATTTAAACTGACCATGTGATCAACGAAATCAGTTTTCGAGTAACAACCAAGAAAGCAACGCGCGGCGATTTGTGTATGGAGAAACGTGTCAGTCAAACATTAAACTATTACAAACGTACAATATTCATTTTATTCCATTCTAGCACACCATAGTAATCCAATACAATGGCACGCGGCCTATAGTTGAACATTGACTAGCTATTTAAAGAACCGTGGCTTGTAATTGTAGGAAGCCAACTACGTTGAATATATAGCTGTTAATGGTCAATATATATATATAAAAAAATATGCACGATGGATCTATAATTATCAGTTAAAAAGGTAAGACTTCTACAGTTCTTTCATTGAAAATAGAAAATCTGATTATGCCCATTCAAGTATGTAATGACCCCATTCTTCTCGTAGACGCTTGATGTGATGAAGCATCGGTTCCTTTTGTTGACATTTTACTGCTTGTGTTACAGCTGTTAAGGATTAGAGTCCGGCTACTGTAAAGCTTTTACAGACATGGGTTAAAAATACTTTTACAATAACAAAATGTCTTCTAGTTCAGCACCAATACTTTGGAACGGTTCAGAGCTAATTACCATTAATTAACCGAACTGCATTACGGCTAGTACGTGTCCCTCAGCAAGAAAATCCCATAGCATAATAAATACAATGGCAGTTTTCTATATAGAAAATCAATAGTTTGTTTTTTTGTTGTTTTTTTTGTTAGATCCTTCTATTCCCTAGATGTATTTTTTATTACTATTATTGTTATGTAACGTTGCTTCTAGAGAGACTGGGGGGGATATACCATTTTCTATTAGATTGCTATATATAGAATTTGGGGAGTGCCATGGAGGGGGTTGGGTGTAGCTAACATCGCTGCCAAATATTTTACAATATCTATATGGACGTATGCTGTAGTCTTTCTCGCAGATTTATGAGAATATTTACAGGAAAATATTCCAATATTTGTAGATAGATAATTATGTCTGTGAGAATGTATTTCAATGATATTTGTAGCATTCTATTTGGGATTTAGGTCCAGTGCATTTTGAGAGAGAGAGAGAGAGAAATTGGGTTTAACGTCCACTCGACACAAACTAGGTCATTTCGGGACTAACATATGGTTTAATTTTATTTAAATAAATCGCTTGCGCGTAGGGGTCTTTAGCAGTAGGAGGAAACCGGAGGACCCGGAGAAAACCCACGAGGTTGGACAGGCGACCCTACTCCTTGCCACGTACAACCGGGGATTCGAAACCACGCCAGTCGACTCAATGACAGACTTTATGATACAGCGCGCTCACGCTAACCATTCAGCCATCCAACCCCCCCCCCCACTGCATTTTGATGTAGGGGAGATATGGCTATATAATTCTATTGATTTTTATTGATTTTTATTTTGTAAAAATGTAGAATTGGCCCATGATTTCTTTGAAATTTGGGACGTCATTTTTTCTCTCAGTATAGATTTGAATTCTGTTGTTGGTCAGAAGCTTGACAGGTTTACTTCATATAACTAAAATATAAGGAAGGCAAAATAGTTAATGAAAGAAAAAATCACATATTGAGCTTGAGTTGATATTGTTATACAGAGAAAAATAATAAAATGCACTCATATTTTTAGCTTTGATCAGAGACTGAACATTATTGTATAGCCTTCTTTTCATCAGTTTCTTGTTTAATCATAACTAATTTTATTCAATTACAAGTACTATAAACATGGACAAGAAACCGAGCATGATGTCATCACCGCCATCTTGGAATTGTGACGTCATATCAGAAACCAATGCCTGGCAAATGATGCGCAGTTTTAAGAGAAACAAGCACGACAAGTTTCATGTCGATTGTATTTGATTGCCTTAGACTATTTTTCGAAAATAGTCGGCCCCGCCCCGCCCCCTCCCACCGCCGCGAAAAAGATGAGTAGCGCCTATTTAATTCTGAAATAGAAACAGAATAGACTTGTGCGATTCACGAGCCATGGTATGCTTACCCTTTTGAAACACCTGATACAGCCATTCAAATTATATGAATCGATTTTATGTTGCCAAGTCCATAACAACAGTTAAACTGTTGAATTGATTATTTAACTATTGATTCTTTGGTTACGATGTTCGTTTTGGTATTCCCGTATTTAACATCGCGCCAAAATAATATCCTGGGTCATTCCAACAATGATATTTATAAAAATGCAAAAGGTATTTAAATTTTCGACATCTGTGGTGTGTGTAGCCTAAAGGAGAGCAAATAAGTACAAATACCTTGGCAGCTGTCTATTTATCTTAAAGAGAAACGTGTACACCTACGTCACAGATGTAAATAGCACATTTTATGCAATCTAATGCAAGCTAAGTACGGAAAGTAGCCTACATCTGACATACGACAGATTGATAATACGTTTTAGAACATTGATGAAAATGAAAACGCGTCGGTTTATCGGGCGGTTAGCATAATGAACACGCGACCAGAACGTCCCGGTATCGAATCTCTAGAGAGTTTTCAAAACCTCGATTACATTTGCCAAGTACAAAATGGACTGATATTGCAAAAATGATTAACCGGGGTATGCATGAAAAATTTAAAAGTTAAACACTTCATCTAAAGTCTTGATTTTAAATTTCTCCATTTTAAAAGTTTGTTTATAAATATATTTTACCTTAAGTAATGAGACTATCAATTATTTTCAATATGAGTTCAAATGAGATATTTAGAATTTGACTTTTAATATTTCGGTAATGTCGGACTTATAGAGAGAGTCCACTCGACACAAACTAGGTCATTTCGGGACTAACATATTCTTTTAATTTTATTTCAATAATTCGCTTGCGCGTAGGGGTCTTTAGCAGTGGGAGGAAACTGGAGGACCCTGGGAAAATCCACGAGGTTGGACAGGCCACCCTACTTCTTGTTACGTACAACTGGGGATTCGAAACCACGCCAGCCAGTTGACTCAATGAAGGCCTTATGATACAGCACGCACGTGCTAATAATTCGGACATCCACCCCCACCCCCGCGTCGGACTTAGGCCTATAGTCCCGACATTCAAAAATAAAGGTTAGAGACAAGAGCTGAAGAACATGTACACAAGGAAACGTACTTTTATTTAAAGGCACAAGTCTGGTCGTTCGAATATATGTTAAAAGTAAAATATGATGTACTAGTTTAATATGGGGATTGATGGTACTGAATAATTAAGCACGTCTGAGTAAACAAGTACGATACCAATGGACCAGGATCCGAGGATGACGTCATTGTCGCCATCTTGGCATTGTGACGTCAAAAATCGAGATCCGTTATTGGATGCACAATTGTCGAAGGAACATGCCTGCAAAGTTTCAAGTCATGATGTTAATCGTCCATGAATTGGCGGTGCCTTGGACTTTATTCGAAGAAGAAAAACAAGAAGAGTAGCGCTTGGGGACCTGTAATAGTTATATTATTGGTATTTCTAATTTGTCACCCAATAATACATTCTACAGTAGATATCGCTTGTGTGAAAAATTTCATAATCTACTGCGATATCTGATATCTCCTCTTTTTTTTATTACAAATAAACTATTTTTATTTAATTGACCTTGAAGGAAACTCTGGGTCAATATAAAGGTCTTTGCAATGGTAATGTAATCAGGTTCAGTAAAATCTATCTTTTATCTATAGTGAAATCTATCTTTATTTATTTGTGTATGCAAGAAAGGATTGGGTGATAAATAAAATCTCCTACTCGTCTTTTCTAATATCAAAAAATATCAACACTCGTCGATAAAAAAAAAACTAAAAAAAAACTTAACCCTGAGTTTGTTTTACTTTATCGACGAGTGTTGATATTTTTTTGATATTAGAAAAAACGAGTAGGAGACTCTCTATTTATACAATGGTCATGACTGTGGTTAGACTTCATCGATTTTAATAATTTTTAGATCTAATGTTAGAGGTCTATTAATTAACATATGTATGATCATAAAGCTACATTTAACGTTTCATCATAGGAATGTTGCTAAAAAAAATATTCAAATCCATGAATTATAACTTTAGTTATGACCATTTAAAGCTTCACTTGATTTTTATTTATTTCACACCACCATATTGTTGTGTCTTAGATAAGCAAAGAAACAATAAGTCTGCTACCTTTTCGCCTAAGTCATCCCGTTGTTCACGGTGTGCTTATTTACATAATAAGAACAGTCGTCACATAAAATAATACGTTTTTTCTATATGTAAACTATCGGGATTGTTTGTAAATATTGATGTATCAGAATTAATATATTTGAATTTTAGCAATTATATTGAATTTAAACTCGATACTCATATTTAATTAAAGTAGGACTGAAGCAAAACTAAGACTGATGTATACAACCATTGTAGATACAAGCCATATACCTTCTTAATCGCTAAGGTCATGACTAATCCATGATATTATATTAAACTATGAAACAAAGGGTGGTAGATTGACCGATTACAGAGTTCACGATAAGATTGTACGCAAATACCTTAACAATGGCATTCGGTTCATCCAACATTCACTGTATAGTCGAAGGTGAAGGTAATTATGTCAATGACTTTTTTGACTCGATAAATTTGCCGAATACACCTTATTACGAACAAATGGGGACATGGCTTATCACAAATGAGGACGTGACAATCACAAAATGAGGACGTGACCTACTTGATAAACCTTCATCTTCATCGCGCAGCTAGGATACCAACCACAAACCCCTTAAGAGATTAATGATTTTGTTGGGTCAATGTATTTGAACTTCGAAATTGTCAAAATAAATTCATTCCATTCTATATATTATACGACATTGTGGATATAACGTCAGAAAATACACGAAATTTTTTCCGGACGTTCGTCCCGTGTTTCAATACTTTGTTTCTAATTTATTTGAATCATGTTTCAATGGATGTTTCAATGAATCATTTTTATGATTTAATTAAATGTTAGTTGAGTTGGTGAATTTAAAAAAAAGCTATAATTTGGTATGGATTGTAGGGGTCTAATTAAGCCAGACTGATGAAATTTGGTGCATAGTTTCATTACATCAATGCCTTGACTCAGTTCGATAATGGACATTTTCTGCTCTGGGCAAGCAGAGCAATAAGCAATTTGATTGATCGAGTTTTCATCACCCGATATCATTCCATTCAGCTGGGATGTTTGCTTATCTCTAGGAATGTCATCTAAGGCAGTACAGTTGTAAGTTCGAGATAAAGATTATTAAGTGTAACCACTGACTACAACAGCAGCAACAAGCCGGCAGTGAGGCTGATGTCCCCCGTGGAAATGCAAAAGTAAATAGATGACACATATTAATAAAGTGATTATTTATTCTTTTCAAAAGTATGGAGCAATCAAACTGACTATCTATACTTAATCTAAGCATACAAGGTGCTTTGAGGTACCTGGTAGTGAAACTAAATACTAAGTTTCATCACTCTCATCAGTTAGAATCAAAGTTATCTTGTCCCAAATCATTGACCAATTAAAATGCTTAGCTCTGCTTAGCTTTAGCGGGAAAAATTAACATTAAACTCACTTAAGGCATTCACCTAATGAACATCTACACCAAGTTTAAACATTCTACCTCAATTAAAAGCCGGGGGGGGGGGGGCGAATGGTTAGAACGTGCTGTATTATTATGGAAGGGGATCGACGCCACATTAAAAGACATGTAAACACGAGTAGTAGTTACTATGTCAGCATATGAAAGTGTTGTTTTGATAATTTTTCCATGTTCGATTTTACAAAATAGAAAAGTATTGTCCACTAACGAAAAAACACATGTACAAATGCGCCTTGTAACGTTTGTATTTTCTACATCTGATCTTTCAACTGTTGTAATTTCTACTAGTGCATAATCGACATATGTAACTTCGACATCGGTATTTTCTTCCAATGTAATTTCTCCACATGTCACATCCATCAAGGCGTGGTTCCGATTTTAGCCGAAGCTTGCGTCATAAAAACAAAACCTCCCTTCAAGAAGTCTCGGTCATCCATACAATATGGCTCCTCCGCGATAGCTCCCTCGACTAACGGGCTTGGATGACCGAGGCTACCCTTCGAGGAAAGTCATTCCTACTACCAGAAAGTTGCATGGGGAGCATCAATAATTTTTAACGGAAGTTAACACTAACATATTGTTTTATGCTAAATTTTAATACAACTTTTAATAGTTTGCTTTCTTTGTTATTTTTATGTGTCTTGAATTCACCATTTCTGGTGTTCATGTCGTTAACATAATTTTGAATGCATAGTTATAGTTTCGAATATAGAACCGCCCCTGTCGGCCCTGTCGTCTGCTCCACATTGGTGACATCGTTCAATCGTAGCCATGGACAATAATAATCAGGTATATTTATGTTTGAATATCTTCCACAAAAAACTTGTTCTTAGAGCACATAAGCGTACAAATATACTACATAAGTGACACAGGTCTTTCTTCTTTTTTTGGTTGTCAGATGATAGCACTATCTACACTACAGTTCTACACTCGTTCAGTCGTTGAGTCGTTATAGTTTCACGCGTAGACGCCGTAGATACCACATGGTCAATGAAATGGGGTTTAACGTCCTATTTTGATGTATTTTTTGTATTGGCTAATGAAGACTGGCATATACCATGCAGGGTGCAATGAGGGAAATTTTATGTGATTGAGTGTAGTTTAGCTTTATTATAAGATTATAGTAAACAAACAATATTTTCGAGTTTCTATTAGATGGGGGTTGTTTTGAACATAACATGTATTACATTGGTCTAAAAAAAAGGGTATCAAATTCCTGTCCTGACAAAATTTCCCTCATTGCACCCTGCATGGTATATGCCAGTCTTCATTAGCCAATACAAAAAATACATCAAAATAGGACGTTAAACCCCATTTCATTGACCATGTGGTATCTACGGCGTCTACGCGTGAAACTATAACGACTCAACGACTGAACGAGTGTAGAACTGTAGTGTAGATAGTGCTATCATCTGACAACCAAAAAAAGAAGAAAGACCTGTGTCACTTATGTAGTATATTTGTACGCTTATGTGCTCTAAGAACAAGTTTTTTGTGGAAGATATTCAAACATAAATATACCTGATTATTATTGTCCATGGCTACGATTGAACGATGTCACCAATGTGGAGCAGACGACAGGGCCGACAGGGGCGGTTCTATATTCGAAACTATAACTATGCATTCAAAATTATGTTAACGACATGAACACCAGAAATGGTGAATTCAAGACACATAAAAATAACAAAGAAAGCAAACTATTAAAAGTTGTATTAAAATTTAGCATAAAACAATATGTTAGTGTTAACTTCCGTTAAAAATTATTGATGCTCCCCATGCAACTTTCTGGTAGTAGGAATGACTTTCCTCGAAGGGTAGCCTCGGTCATCCAAGCCCGTTAGTCGAGGGAGCTATCGCGGAGGAGCCATATTGTCTGGATGACCGAGACTACTTGAAGGGAGGTTTTGTTTTTATGACGCAAGCTTCGGCTAAAATCGGAACCACGCCTTGATGGATGTGACATGTGGAGAAATTACATTGGAAGAAAATACCGATGTCGAAGTTACATATGTCGATTATGCACTAGTAGAAATTACAACAGTTGAAAGATCAGATGTAGAAAATACAAACGTTACAAGGCGCATTTGTACATGTGTTTTTTCGTTAGTGGACAATACTTTTCTATTTTGTAAAATCGAACATGGAAAAATCATCAAAACAACACTTTCATATGCTGACATAGTAACTTCTACTCGTGTTTACATGTCTTTTAATGTGGCGTCGATCCCCTTCCATATATTATAAGGTTTGTCATTGAGTCAACTGCCGTTGTTTCGATTCCCGGGTTGTACGTGACAATGAGTGGGGTCGCCTGCCAACCTCGTGGGTTTTCTCCGGGTTCTCCGGTTTCCTCCCACTGCTAAAGACCCCTACGCGCAAGCGAATTATTGAACTAAAACTGAACCATAAATTTAGTCTCAAAATGACCTAGTTTGTGTCGAGTGGACGTTAAACCCCATTTCTCACGCTCTTTCAATTAAAAGCCGAGTTGTTATGTTCCAAGTCTAGAATGTTCAAACTTGGTGTAGGTGTTTATTAGGCGAATGCCTTGATGGAGTTCGAAGATGGGCATTTTCTGCTTAGGCTAAGCAGAGATAAGCTGCTTAGGCTAAGCAGAGATAGGCAATTTGATTGGTTAATACTTTTGGACACGATAACTTTGGTTCTAATTAAGTGAGAGTGGTGAAACTTGGTGTATAGTTTTATTACAGCAATGCCTTGACTAAGTTCGATGATAAGAATTTGCTGCTAAGACTGAGTATCGATAAGCAATTTGATTGGTCAAGACGTTGCAACATAACAGAGAGATATAGGCGGCGGGCGGGAGGGGGTGGAGGGTAACGTCCACTCAAGACAAACTAGATTATTTCTGGACAATATGGTTCAATTTTATTTTAACAATTCGCTTGCGCGTAGGGGTCTTTAGCAGTGGAAGGAAACCACTAGGATGGAAGGAACATAACAAATCTACTCTTTATTGAGGTTTTTCTTTGCAGAACAGTAGGACGTTAAACTCCATTTCATTTAATTTCATTTTATTTCATTTAATTAAGGTGGAATGTTTACATGGTCATCAGATGAATGTCTTGAATGAGTTCAATGGTAACATTTTCCTCTAAAAAAGCAGAGCTAAGCAATTTCATTGGTCGATGCTTCGAGACAAGATAACTTTTATTCTAACGTATGGAGAGTGATGAAACTTAGTGTAGAATTTCACTATCAGGTACTTCAAAACTATGACTTACTATGATATCTTCGGCGTAGACTAATTATAGATATAATCAGTTTGATTGCTCGATACTTTTCAAAAAGATTAATGTTCAGTTAATTAATATCTGTCATCTATTTATTTTGAGATTTCGGCGGGGGACATCAGCCTCACTGTTGGCTTGTTTTTTTTTTCTAAATTCGTTCACTGGCAAAATCTATGTAGTTTTTGTATAGTAACGATTTTGAACCAAAGCAGTGAACCAAGGAAGCCAAGAAGCCTCTTAAATTTCCACAATCAATTATTTGTAGAGTTACGACCCTCGTTTACTTAAGGGAGGGGGTGGAAGGCATTTCGCCCTTGCGATGCGGTGCGGTGCGGCTGTGTGCGATTGGCATGGTGCAACTGAATATAGCTAGGAGATGCCAATCTGTTTTACAGACCTAATGCGACATCCGTCTTTTATCTCTGTCCAAGATGACTGACCTTTAAAAGGTCAAACCGCTGTAGTTCTAAGGGTGACGTCACATCACAATGTTTACCAACAAAGCAAGATGGCATCGATAACGCCAAAAAAGATTACTTCTGTGGCTTGTTTTTGTTGTTTTAAAACAAACACGAGCAGGTCAATCAGATTAGACGGTAAAAAATGTACTTCTGAAACAGAAAACAGAAAAAAACGTCAAATTGATGGTCACACGTGCGTTGTTTACATCGAACGTAGTAATATGAACTGGTACGGGCAGAATTATATCGTTTTACCCACTTTACGCCTCCGCGTACTATTTTCTGTACTTATTTACGCTAATTATGGAATATTTTTTGTCAAGATATACTTCAAACACCTTTATTTATTTTTCTAATACTAAAAAAAAATGTTTCAGAATTTAATTTGTCGAAAGAAAAAAGTTAATATTTTGTAGTCATTAAGTCGCATCGATGTCATCCTTATCAGTGATTGTAGCGGCCAAGCGAATATTCACTGCGGATCAGTGTGAGGAGATGCATGAAAAGGCGACATAAGCTATAGGTCTACTGTAAAAGACACGCAGGTTGCAGTTTGCAACTAGTTGCGGCGACATAAGCGGTTTTGCTATTGAATGCAACTTGTCTTTAGGGAATGTTTAGGCATTCGGTGTATTTAGTTCTTTTGATGGGGGTCTACTCATGTCATTGTCTACACCCCAAGAGTGTATTTGTATTCAAAGAAAGGCTTATACCATGTAATAGCTAATGTCGATCATCCAGAACCTAATAGTCTTCAACGTACGGAGGGTCTGGGACCGTTGTCAATATTTGAAGAAAAGTTCCGTTGCCCATGTATAAACAAACATGAATCGTGACGACGAACTGGGATTAATTTTTAAAAAAAAACATAGATTATATGGCCCATGAAGAGAGAAATTTTACTATAAAAAAGATTAAGAGTGTTGGATATTGAACTGGCAATACTATCAAATGGATTTTCTGAAATGGCATGGGGGGGGGGGGGTGGATGGCCAAATGGTTAGCACGCGCGCGCTGTATCTTACGGTCTGTCATTGAGTCAACTGGCGGGGTTTCGATTCCCCGGTTGTACGTGACAAGGAGTAGGGTTGCCTGTCCAACCTCGTGGGTTTTCTGGTCCTCCGGTTTCCTCCCACTGCTAAAGACCCCTACGCGCAAGCGAATTATTGAAATAAAATTAAACCATATGTTAGTCCCGAAATGACCTAGTTTGTGTCGAGTGGACGTTAAACCCAATTTCTCTCTCTCTCTCTCTCTCTCTGAAATGGCATTCTTAAATTAATTTCATGAGCGTCAACATCTTGTTTTAGGACTAGCTATCTCCCTTAGACTTTGTTTATGATAACGTAAAAGACCGGATAATCTAGCCAATGACCTATTATTCTCAAGTGTTGACAACGCATCCAGACTAATATTCGTAGAATATTTTTCTGGATGATAGACACTATGTAATAGCAGAACCTACTTTAAATTTTAAGAAAGTTATTGCTAAACTCAAAGGACAGCATCGCCATTTTGTATTGGTTACATGGCCGTCATGGAATTCATTTGACCTTATTTTGGTGGCAGCGGGATCAGTTGCATACAATCATAAGTCCTCCGACTTTCCGCTTGAAAGTAATTCGCAGGCGACATAAGCGGTCGGCATTTCCAGTAGCACACAATCACATCGAATTTGAAGAGGCAAAAGTGGGTGGGTGGGGGTCATAAGTTGGGCTTTAAGGATTCACAATGCGACAAACTTTGTTGTTTGTAAAGACGACTTAACTGTTCTTGGCCTATGTTTCATTGCCCGGTATGTTCTTAAGATATTAGTCGTCAAGCCCCTGTGATGTGGGGACAATTATATATAAAGCCACGTTATACCAAAAATTAACCAGGTCACATTGATGTCACGTATATAAGTTAGATCATTGTCGGGTTTACAATGTTAATTAAATTGTCAGTAAATTATTGTCCAATTTGTTGAATAAATGGGTAATCCCTGAAATTTAATTCACAAAGGCAGATCCGATAAGGGATTTTCAGTAATATAATACGTACTAGATCAAGTTGGGTATATCTTTATTTCAGTTACTAATTTACCCGCTGGGGTGTTTATAATTAGCAATGGCAAGATACCAGAATAACTGAGGTTGACAGACGACCCTACTCTTTATCACATACAATCGCAAGAGCGAATTAACTTTCTGTGCCAACTACGAACACTTGAATAGATGACATAAATTGTCATATGTTATTCAAGTTTTTGGTCAAAAATTAAATCATGACCATCCGAGTGTCTAGATAGCTAATACCTAATTAATAATTTATATAACATTAAATTGAAGCCTAAGAAAGAACTTCATTAGGAAGATTTAGCTCTTTCATAATCAATCTTTAAAGGGGCTATCCCGATTTGAACAGAGTCTCAGAAATAAAAGTCTGTGTACGTATGAAATTTAAGCCCCAAAATATAGAGGAATCGTGTATTTACATTGTATGAGGATTTCAGCTCAGAATATTGAGTCGTTTGGACGTGAACGTCAAAACTTCTTATCCTGACACGTAACCCTTTTAAGATTTCAGGTCAGGTTTTTCGTTGGGTGACCTGATAATTAATTCCCTTTCCTTTAGAGGTCTATACAATGAATGACCGATGTGCTGTACTTGATAACGAAAGGTAAATTTCACCTACACATTATTTTTATAAAATAAAAGTCTAGTTTTATCAAGACACCGCATAATACAGCTTGGGACACCGGTCTCCATTTCCAGATGAAGACTGACGGGTTTAAGTTGTTTGAAAACGTATCACATATATTGAGTTAGTTCCTCGGGCCTAGGGTAGAGGATTTTAACACAAAATTAGGCAGTTTTATTCTCTAAAATATTATCGGGATTGGCTCTTTAAAGATATTTCTTTTGGCCCCCAAACGCTATATGAATTATTAATTTCAGCAATTTCCGTTTATTACTTCTAGGGTCGTGGCCCATGTGTCACTTTGTTGCACCCCGGAACGCTCTAACATCTATAATTATCTGCCGATCTGTATGAAATTTATATGCGTCATTTAAATTAGTAAAAAGAAGAACCCTATTGAATTTCAGCAATTTCCGTTTATTACGTCTAGAGGCATGGCCCTTGTTTCACTTGTTGAACCTTGTGAACGCTCTTACGCCAAATATTATCACCCGATCTTTGTGAAATTTATGTGCATGATTTGAATTAGTGAATCGAAGAAGCCTATCCAATAACGGCAATTTCTGTTAATTACCCCTAGAGTTATGGCCCTTGTTTCACTTTGTTGAACCTTGTGATAACTCTAATGCCAAAAGTTATCAGATGATCTGTATGAAATTTATATGCTTCATTTAGGTTAGTGAAACCACAAAGTCTATTGAATTTCAGCAATTTAAAACAATTATTTCTCGAATTATAGCCCTTGTTTCACTTTGTTCAACCTTGTTAATGCTCGATTGATGAAAGTTATCATCAGATATGTATGAAATTTATATTCATCATTTAAATTTGTGAAACGGAGGTCTATTGAATTTCAGCAATTTCCGCCAATTATTTCTATAGTTATGATCCTTGTTTTTATTTGTGAACCTTGTGAACGTTCGAATGACAAAAGCTATCATCCAATCTGTATGAAATTTATATCAAATTTCAAAATTTTCTGCAAATTACTTCCATAGTTAAGGCCCTTGTTTCAGTTTGTAGAACCTTTTGAACCCTCAAACGACAAAAATTATAATCTGATCAATATGGAATTGTATTGTAAATGCCCCCAATTAATTACAAAAGAATAAATATGCAGCAACCCTTGTCGACCGACGGACGACTTAGCTGCTGTTGGCATATGTTTCGTTGTCTGAGCCTGACAACCTATCTTTTCTGGAGTTAGGCCTTGTTTCACTTTGGTGCTCCTTTTGAATACTAAACTATAACACATACTTATGGAAGAACAATTACTGATTTATTTCGGCGACGTTTCGAAGAGTATTCTCTCAACTTGCTTGAAAACGTTGGGAGAATACTCTTCGAATCGTCGCCTAAGTAAATCAGTAATTGTTATTCCATAAGTATGTGTTATAGTTTATTGCTCTATCCAGTTACTAAATGCCTCTTAAAGATCATTTTTGAATACTCTAACGACAAAAGTTATCAGCCGATCTATATGATATGCATCATTTGAATTAGTGAAACGAAGAAGTGTATTGAATTTCATTAATTTCTGTTTATTACGTCTAGCGTTATGGCCCTTGTTTCACTTTGTTGAACCTTGCGAACGCTCTAACGACAAAAAATATCATTTGATTTGTATGGAATTTATATGCATCCATTTAAATTAGTGAAAAAAGAAGCCTATTGAATTTCCATCAATTACTTCTAGAGTTATTGTCCTTGTTTCAATTTGTTGAACCTCGTGAACGCTCGAACCCCAAAAGATATCATCCAATCTGAATTAAATTTATATACATCATTTAGATTAGTGAAAGAAAGAAGCCTATAGAATTTCAGCAATTTATGTCAATTACTTCTCGAGTTATGGCCCTTGTTTTACTTTGTTGAACCTTGTGAACATTCGAACAACAAAAGTTATTATTCTATCTGTATGAAATTTATATGCATTATTTAAATTAAAAAAACGAAAAAGTATGTCGACTTTCAACAATTTCTGTAAATTACTTCCAGAGTTAAAGCTGGCCTGAAAAGGACAACGGTGCAGTCGTTCTGATGGGGAAAAAACGAGGTCCCGTGTACACATTGGCGTATGTTTCGTTTGTGTATGCCCGACCCCCTGGGACAGACCCATGCCCAATTTTTTTTTGTCTGGCTGTGCGTCGCCTGGTGAATGCCCGACCGCCATGGGCAGAGCCACTCATTTTTTTCTTTGTTTGTGTGTTTGTTGCCTACAGTCCACAATTCTTAATGGATCGTCTTGGAATTTGGCATGTATTCCTTATAGCCTCAGGACGGCAACTATTGATTTTGGTGTATGCCCCAACCACCAGGGACAGAGCCACGCCCAATTTTTATATTTATCATATACAGGCCACAATTCTGAATGGATCATTTTGGAACTTGGCATATGTATTTCTTGTAGCCTAAGGGCGGCAACTATTGTTTTAGTGAGTGCTCCGACCCCCAGCGACAGAGCCACGCCCATTTATTGTGTTACCGTCTGAAAGCTACAATTATTCTGAATGGATTATCTTGTAACTTGGTATATACCCTAAAGACGGCAACTATTGGTTTTGGCGCATGATCCGCCATAGCTGCAATTTTACGCCGTGATAATTCTTATCTACGGCTGCAATTGATACACCATTCGAGGCTTTGAGCAAGTAAAATTAGGTTCAATTGCAAAATTTTCAACACATATCTTCACAGTTTGCATGGAAATAAGTAATTATAATTTACAAATAGTGAAGAGTAGAACACTGAAATTATAATCTTATCTTACCGAACAGTTTTTCGAGTGACATGACACCCCGTGATTCTGATTCGGTGGCCATTTTAAACCGAACAGAAATTTCGCATAGCAATTGGGTTTAATCAAATCATATAATTATACGGCAAGTTTTCACCATTATTTCAATGGGAATTGCTTTATTATATGTTAAGCTATGTTCAGTACAGTTTGGGGTCGATGTTATTGGAAATTAAGCGAGTTATACGCCAGTAACTTTTTTTGGTCAATTGACTACAAAACTTGCTCAAAGAAAGTGGAACCATTTCTAGATCCGCCCCGCTTGAGCATTGCCACACACATTTTTTGTAATTATTTTGTCTGTAAATAATCTACAGGTTGCAATTATTAACAGATTTGGACCCAATTCGGCATCAACTATCATAGTGTTGTACCTACTTATATTGTTCCATATCCAGCCCCCAGGGGCCGAGCACGCCAATTTTGGGTGTTTATCGTCTACAGGCTGCAATTCTGAATGGATCATTTTGGAACTTTGCATATTTATTCCTTATACTGTAAAGACAGAATTTTTTTTTTTTTTTTTTTTTTTTGTGCATGCCCCGTCTCACAGGAATTTGGACGTATATTGCAGCGGTACTGATGCTCTTGTTAATTTAAGTCATCAAAGATGGGTGGTTATTTCCAATAAAAGTATGGTATGGTAATTTTGGTATATATGGAAAGTAGAGATATCAATCTTACTAGAAAAATACTGGATTGCCCGAAAAACACTCATGGAGTGTATACAGGACAAAAATGTAAGGGTTCCCCTAATCAACAGCCCAACGATGTACAAGTTGATAAACTTTATTAAGAGTTAGACGTACAACACTTTCTGAGATAAAAATGACGGAAAAAGACGCGGGTAGTGGATAATCCGCGAATTTAATTAGGATTCGATATTTGTAATAAATAGTAAGGGATTAAAGACAACATCGTCTTATGTATGCAATGAATTCTCCTCACATAACGTAAACATGACCTGGTTTGATCGAATTTTTATAGAAGGACATTCCTTCGCAAATACAATGTTTGAGAAGGATTTGAAGCAAAGTTATGACAAATTAATTAGTTTGAATATGTTTTTAGTCCATACGCGGGAACCCATCTTTAACTGTAAATCGTATTAAAATCTGTTGGAAATCTCCTGCATTCGATTGTATCGAGAGTTGATTATGCTCTTGGGAAGTTGAAGTATATTTCATATAACATAAAGGCATAAAGAAAGACTTGCAATAGGCAGATATAGCTCTTGCATAACACCTGTGTGACAATTTTTAAACCCTTTACCCTGAAGTTAAATGAAGGTTTGATAAGATAATGAGGTCTGTCATTGAGTCAAGTGGCGTTCTTACTTTACCAAGTTGCGTTCTTTACTTTAGGGTCGCCTGTCAAACCTAATGGGTTTTCTCCGGGCCCACCGGGCCCCCCTAATGCTAAAGACCCCGAATTATTGAATCACAAAAATTTTACCATTTTTTAGTCCCTAAATGACTTAGTTAATCCTATTGTGCTGCAAATAGTTATCTGGTCCATAACTCAATATCCTACTGTCATTGGTGCGTTAAGCTTGATATATTTACAAAACTTTGAAGACACGATATCAAATTTTATTTGAAACACAATTTACTGATCTTGACATAGCAGGGGATAGGGCCACAAGACACTCTCCGTCCGTGGAACCGGTTTCAGCAAGAGTAAAGATTGCGTGAGTGTTTACTGTTTGTTTAACTTTGACACGTGATGTAAATGTCATCTATTTATCGGTTTTATTTACTTACGAATCAGATGACATTTTTCAAAAAAAAAGTGTGATTTTCAGACACAAAAAAGCCGTTGTTTTAATAACAAGCATACGCTCACCACTTTGTAAGTATATAATGGTTTCTTTTTAATTATTAAAGATGCATTATGTAAGAGCTAACGCTGCCTGTTGCAGGTCTTTTTTATAGCTTCAAATGTTATATAAATTATTATTTAGCCATTTTAAGTCGTTCGGATTGGACGAATAGCCGAGGTAGTGTGTAGGCTACATATTGGCGTGTACGTTAAAGATCCATTGGCAGTAGGAATTCGATAAAAGATTAGGCCGTGGCGCCGCTGTCCGGGCAAAATGTCCCGCATAGCACACTGTATGGCGTAATCTCGTCCTCAGTAGCCCAGAATAAAGAAATTTGATTGACATTTTCAATATATTCATTGGTCAGTATCTATTTTTGAACTATTACAGCAAAAACGACAAACTTTTTATCTAAATATTGCATAAGTTATCTTTAAGTACAAAGGGACTGTGTAAACTGTAAAATGCGGAACAGTACCGATCGACAATGTGGTCAATATCACCAACTCCTACCAAGAAATGTTCAATATATATATCCATTTTCCATTATCTATTTTTGAATTATTGTTGCACGAAAGACCGACTATTTAACCAAATCCTACATATTGAACCTTTTAAAGGAGAAATCTATATCCTCATACCGGTGTCGCAGTTTAACTCGACTTTTCATCCACCTCCACCAGTATTATTTTCTAAGTAAGTTTACATCGAATGTCAATTAAAATGGTGTAAAATTTTAATGTCACGACACATTCAAACACCCACTTCCAGCCCGGTCCCACCCGAATATAACCAATATTATTTTATATGTAAGTTTACAACAAATGGTAAGATCCGAACAACATTAAATGTCAATTGAAACGGTGTAAACTTTTACAATATTATAGTTTGCCAGGGCTTCATATAACACTCATATACTTTCAAATAACCTTTTAAAACTGGGTACAAAGACGTCTTGCAGGATTTCCTCATACATTTGACATTTAGAATTGTCACATCATACATTAATTACCTTGCAGTTACTCTGTAGTAGTACACCTAATATCCCATGTAAAATTTATATTAGAACATAGACCATAAACTGCATGTGTATGTAAAATGATTTATATGGCTATTAAAACGGTAGGATATTTTAAGTCGTCGGATACATTGTGGTTGTATTTAGGCGATATATTTAACCCCCATTAATATTCTAATTGTGGTAACTTGACATGTCTAGTCACTAGTTAGGGGTAAAGGTTCCATAACCAGAAGCTTCCTGTCAGTGGTGCGTGGGGTAAGCAGCCTTTAAATTATAGGACCGGGTGGGGAATCGGAGGGATTCCCCTCCCCCCACCCCCTTTTGTTCCAGATTCATTTTCAAGTATACCTCCTGTCTAACACCCGTAAAAACTCTACCAGGTTCCCACGTCACTGTCTGTTGTGCTTCCGTCCTAGCGATGTTTTAGCTTTTGTCAGTGGTGCATGACGGAGGGCCTAGCGAAGAGCAGCATCTGTACGTTCCCATGGTTCCGAGATTTCATGTGCACTCTGGTGAAATGTGGGGGAAGAGATGGAATTAGAGGAGGAGTAGGCGAGGTGCGCCGCTCTCATAGCACATTACATGACGTATGCTCGTATGCATTTATATGGTTTATAGTGAACTACAGCGATTTTGGATAAAAGCTTCAAAGTGACATGTCACTTATAGGCTGCATACAATCTTTTAAACACTAGAATGGTTAAAGCTATTATTCGATCTATTTGATATTTCGATCAGTAAAAAATTACGATTTTCAATAATTATCGACAAGATTAAGTCCTACACCAAAAGTTAACATTTGAAATTGATACACACTCTAAATGTTGGTTAGTCCTTCATGAAAAGCTATGTCCCTTGTTTTCCATTTCAAGCCTTTGGTATAGCTTTATGTTTAACGTGCTTGTAAATAATATCATTCAGTAATTGTTGCCTTTGTTTCACATTTTATAGGATTTGTATTTAAAAAAAACTCATTGGGACTTATAGACATGGGATATTTATATTTTTCAGGCATGGCGAAGAAATCAGATATAGACCAAGGATGGGCTTGGGTCGTATTATTTGCAGCTTTTACAAGTTCGGCACTCTACGCTATGGAAGCTGTGTCCCAGGGTATATTCCAGTTGGAATTCTTGGAGACCTTTGAGGGATCTCGTAGTTATATTTCTTTGGTTTGCTCCATTCATTTAGGGTTGCAGTTATTTTTAGGTAAAAACAAACTGCAGTACTCAACATCTTGACATTTATAAACTATGAATTTCGTAAAAATGATCCCTCTATTGCTGTCTCGAAAAAGAATATATCAATGCGAATGCGAAAAGAAGTGGTTTTACTTTACGAAAGTTGACTTTACTGGGACCCGATGTGAGAACTTGCAACCTTAATGAAACCCCAGCATGATCTAAAAAAAAAAGTAGTATGTTAGTATTGTGGTCAAATTGTCCCCGGGGTTTCCATTGCATTTGTGTATGGTAACAAGCCAATTTTATTACGTCACCCTCTCATAAGTATTATAATATGCACGCAACATGTGGTGTTTACAAGTCATGTGAGTAAACTACACATTTAAATCCACCCAACTCTATCAAGCCCAAGTTTACATTTTATCTATTTATCTACCGTAAACATAGAAGTACTTGTACTGTATCTGCTTTAATCTAAACAAATGAATACATAGCTGTTATAAAAGGTCAAACCAGTGTATTGTTTAGTTCTTCTAGGTCTTGTTTAATATAGGGGGGTTGGATGGCTGAATGGTTAGCACGTGCGCGCTGTATCATAAAGCCTGTCGTTGAGTCAACTGGCGTGGTTTCGAATCCCCGGTTGTATGTGACAAGGAGTAGGGTCGCATGTCCAACCTCGTGGGTTTTCTCCGGGTCCCCCGGTTTCCTCCCACTGCTAAAGACCCCTACGCTCAAGCGAATTATTGAAATAAAATTAAATCATATGTTAGTCCCAAAATGACCTAGTTTGTGTCGAGTGGACGTTAAACCCCATTTCTCTCTCTCTCTCTCCCTCTCTCTTTGTTTAATATATATACATGTATAACCCACTCAATTCTTGTGTACGATGTTTTGTTAAAATTTCAAAACTTAAACATTTATAACTAAAAGCTTTTGATAAAAGCAACTAAATTATTATTGTTTTGCTGGAGAAATTGGATGCACCGTTGTTCCCGAAGAATAGAAATGTAAATTGTTGTGCCCTTAACGACAAGTTAATATTTTTAGATCTATCAAACCCGGGGGTTGGTGGGATGGGGTCAGAGTGGTCTAACATGATTTCGATCCAAGAAGTAGGGTGGCCTGCCCAGCCTTGTAAGAATACACCGGGTCCTCCCGTTTTCTCCCAGTTCTAAACACCCCTACCCACAAGCGAATTAATGAAATAAAATTGTTCCGTATTTGAGTCCCGAAATGACCTAGTTTATGTCAAATGGACGTTAAACCCCATTTCTTTCTCTAGCAATCGGAAGTATATAATAAACGATAAACAAATATTAAATTCCATATGCATGGGGTCTTTCCATGTCAAATCACCCAATGGGGTAAACCGTGCACCCTTTGATTTTGCTGAAATGGTTTAAATAGTTCTTTTAGCTTCAAAAGCTGGTATTCCAAATGTATGCCTAATCGGAGTAACGGTTCTTAGATGTGACCTATTGAAATTTCTCATTTTTTTATTAAAACGGGCGTGGTCGCCAATAGTCAAATGTCTGTAGCCCTGGAACTGATCGTTCAAAATTGCTAAAATAGGTTTTGGTGGAAGGGTAGTTTCACAAGGATTTCTGATAATTTCTTAATGAGTTGTTACTCTTAATCAGATTTTAGTGTATGGTAAATGTTTCATTACCGACAAAAGAAAAACCTCGAAGAATTCACGGGCGGCTTAGCTGCTATGGGCGTATGTTTCTTGCCTGGCAGCCTATCTTTCAATTGTTTTGGGTGATTCGACACGGAATGGCCCTATACACTTTCATCTCGACTGGCTACCTACACTTTTTTATCAGCCATCTCATTTATTGCCTTTGTGTGTGTGGGGGGGGGGGCACGGTGGCTCAGTGTTTAGGCGTTAGCTCGCTAACCTGGAGGTCCCATTTTCGATCCTTGGAAAGAAACAGCGTATAGTTGTTTGGATGGGACGAAAAACTGGGGCCCCGTGTACACATTGACGTGCATGTAAAATACCCCTTGGCAGTTGGAATTCGATATAAGACTGGGCCGTAGTGCCGCTGTCCAGGCAAACTTTCCATCATAGCACACTGTATGGCGTATGTATGCCCGTCTTCATTAGCCCAGTATAGGAGCAGGACAGTAGGACGTTAAACCTCATTTCATTTCTGTTTTTTTTTTAATTATTTTTTATTGCCTTTATAATTTCTTACAGGCATAGTTGCAAGTGCTATTTGCAATGCTTTCTCTATACGAGTTGCAGCAATGTTGGGTTCCATTCTCTTCTCAGTGGGTTTATTACTATCATCGTTTTCTACAACATTTGAAGAGCTGATGCTATTTTATGGAGTAATAGCAGGTAAGTACATTTTTATTATAATACTCGTTTTATTAAAGGGGGATTGTCAGATATAACAGCTGTGCTTGATGGTGATATTTGCCGTGGAGACAAAAGATAACATGTCAAAACATGGCGAATTTTGGGGAATGAGCGTCTCTATAAACTTTTAACTATGGACAGATATGGTTCATGTAATCCTGACCGTAAACACTGCCGATAACGGTTGAAAGATTTGATATTTTGATCTAATATACATATTAGTGTTACTTCCATTAAAGTTTAGAGCCTGAAAGCAATCATGAAATATCTCAAATATTTCAATTTTCAACTGGTGTTTATTTCTATCTCATGTTTTCATTGTAATGTAGTGGTACATTTTCCAAAGGCTCAAGTTATGCATTGCATATATTCATAAACCGGAGGGCTATTGATTTATGATAATTACTTTCAAAGTTAATGGCCTAGATCATATTGGCGCACTGGAGGTTAACGTTATTAGCCTTTTAGATATCTTTGAACGCTATTGCCTTGTTAGTTATCACTCCATCGAGATGGAATTGATATACACGGTTGCACTGTGTGAGACACATATGCTGATAGATTTTTATCAATCTATGAGCACATTGCAAAATATAGTTGTGTTTTGCAGTAGAAAGGTTTTGGCGTTTATTTACTTAGGGACTCACGACAAACAGCGTTGCTGCTCTGGTCAAATCTTTCAAAGTATCACTGCCCATCTTTCATTAAAAGAGAACACCCTTATGTTTTGGACAGCGATCGCAGGGACTAGAATCTTCATTTGCAAAAACATTCCAGTAGCCACTACCCTCTTGGGATAACAGTGACACCCAGAAGAAGAAGCAACCATTTCTAGTCTCCGTACAATCATCTGACACATGATTGATTCGCGCATGGTACCGCGAATCGTAACTGGGAAAATATCCTAAGGTCAAATCAATGAACTTAACCATAGTTTTAAAAAAATATTAAAAACGCATCTAATTAAACAGAGCTGTTATAAGAATGACATTGAATGTAGTGTTAAATTAAATCTCATATGATACCAATAATTTCACATCATTTGATACCGTTTATTCAACCACGAACTTGTTGTTCTTCTTGTTTTTTGTTTTTCTTAATGCTCCGCATGCTTGTTTCTCAGACGTCACAATTTCAAGAGGGCGACGATTACGCCATGCTCGGTTCCTGGCCCACGTGGTTTTTTTACAGAGCAATATTCCATATGTTGCCACTGACAAGTTCACATCCTTAACATTGTCTTGTACTTTCGTATTTCAGGAGGTGGTTCCGGAATATTCTATACATCAGTGAGTGTCATAACAAGTCATTATTTTCACAAGAAAAGACTTCTTGCATGTGGTATAACATTCTCTAGCCCAGGGATTGGCTATATTTGTGGCCCGTCGTTCATTCGCTACCTCATAGAAAGTTTTGGCTGGAGATCAGCTTTGAGCATCTTGGGGTGCATAGTAGCACAGACTTGCGTTTTATCAGCACTGTTCTTCCCAGTTGACGAAACCAGTAACTGCTGTACTGCGTTGTGTATTAAGAAAGACACAAATCAAAGCTCAAAATCAGACAAAGATGGTGGGGTTGTAAATTTACCGTTACTTAAAAAGTATAATCAAAAACTGAAGTGTGATGTCCCAAAAGAGAACCAGTCTGATGTATGTGCTTCTAAAGTAGCAGGACCCAGCCCTACGCGTCAAAACAATAACATGTCGAAATTAGGTTCTATGTCTGAACTGAACAACCTCCATAATTCCAAAGAAAGTATTCCTACCGTGCCAAACTCTCCACAGGAAAACAGATCGCCTACGCCACATATGAATAAATCTTTGAGCAAGAATGGTTTTAAGAACAGTGTGACTTCCATTAATTCCCGTAATATTCATGAATATTACTCTATTATGAAAGACGGTAGTTCCATGTCTGTGTTGAAACCCGAGAATCGATTCATTACCAGTATACAATCACTTTCGTCCGTATCTCGTAGACATCTTCAAGCATCTACAGGAAACTTGATGTGGGAGTCCCATTCCAGTATTCAGCATCTTGGTACTTACCTGACTGAAGAAGAAGAACGCGAAGCAGGCATTGTTAAAGAAGATTCAAAAAAATTCTCGTGCAAACCCGATGTTAGTGTGCTCAAGAACAAAGCGTTGTGGTGTTTAAGTTTAAGTCAGTTACTTCTGATGTTTGGATATTGTATCAACTTCATCCATTACCCGTCCATGATTGTTTCGAAAGGGATAGATATATCTGTGGTACCTCAGTTATACATGACACAGGGTGTTAGTCTTATTGTAGCTCGTTTAATTGGTGGACTATTCTGTAATCATCCGGACATTAACATCCTGCTAATAAGCTTTGGATGTCAAGTGTTACTAGGAGCTCTAGTGTTTTGTATGCCCTTTCTGGGCGCCAATATATGGGCTTATCATTTGTGCCAAGTATTCTTTGCGTTTTATTATGGAGGAACCTACGTTGTTCTTAGTCAAATTCTGATAAAATTGTTAGGTCTTCGGCATTTAGCTACCGGCTTTGGTATTCAGATGATGATGAGTGGAATAGCATTTTTTATAACACCAACATTAGCAGGTAGGTACTGAAATGTTAAAAATGATCTGTGATGGGGGGGTTATCGATTAAAGTAAAACGATGGTAAATCCCACGCAGTATTAAGACTAATTTGTCGTTATATTGTACAAGTGTATTTAGGGATGTTTCATTTGATTTTGCTGTAAAAAGTCTAATAACTACAATTAATCTTAAATAATTATAGTACATCTCATTTTGTGTCATGTTCAAGTTGTTCATAGATCAGTGAAAAAAGTCAGTATCTGGGAAGGCCTCTGCCAGTCTGGATCACATGTTGAACTGAACTCCCCTGCTTATTGACTGAATTAGACGTTGGATCTGATTCTGCGTTGGTCTGAACCATTCCGGATGTATGTCTGATCCAGATCGTCACGATTATGCACTGATAAGTCCCTCTAGGCTGTTACTCTGTACATGCCATGTTTCTACGTCTCCATATCCATGACCAATTGATTGCTCGCAATGAAGCCACATTCCAATAATGACGTGCCCGGCACCATGCTAGCCGTGAGAGGCCTTATGGGCACGTTACAAAAGCGGTCGTCTGACAGGTCTCTTTGCACCATATCAAGCCGATTTGAGCTGGTTACGATCAGTTCTGTAGGATAGGAGACGGCGAGGTAGCCATTTCAAAATAGTGCATAGTGCAAAAGGGTAACGTCGCAGGAGTCTCAAAAGAGCTGCATCTTCTCTTGTCGGTCTTTAACGTCAAGTTGATATTTTCTCAATAATCGACAGAACTGTCGTGCATTCTTTTCGCTGGAGTGCATTATCGATGTCCGATTGTGAAATACACACAGTGAACACGACGTTTAAAACTCCCCTCAATGGAAAACCTGCTTTTCAAAACAAACTTTTCATAATGCAAGAGGTTCATACTTTCTTGCCCCGTAGGTATGTTAGGTGCTGCATTGGCAGATTTCACTGGTTTATATGGAGGACAGAATATTTAGGTCATACTTTTTCTCTGTGTATAAATTCACCTAATTATCCAAAAAGTTAAATAATTTCGACGCGCGTCCGCTGAACCAATAGTGGTTTTTTTTTCCATGCCATGATTTTGCAGTTCAGTTACGCCAGGAAGTTTACCAATTTGGTTACATGCAAAATTTGATACGGATTTATCCCTTCATCGCTGAGATATGGACATTAGTATATTGTGGAAATATGGTATATAGTCAAAAATTAAACATCACATTAACGCCACATTAACATTATTGTGTTTGTCACAGTTCAGCTGTTTGCTCATTTAGCACTGTTTATGTAACATGCAGTGTCAGTTTATTGTAACATGGGATCTAAGAGCAAAGCGACTGTAATAACGCCAGCTTGTGAGAAACATTCGCAAAATTTTAACACTTTGCGTCCAAACAAATACCCTGTGCATAGATCTCGATGTTGGGAGCCACGGCGGCTCAGTAAAGTAAGACATTATTGGCTCGCTAACCCGGAGGTCGAGTGTTCGATCCCGGCATCCGCCGAGAAAGTTCATCGGGATTTTCAGGCGTGGTTCCACCTTGTCAATTGCGCAGGATGGAGGGTGACTGGCAAGGGACAGCGAATAGTAGTGTACACATTTGTGTGCACGTAAAAGAACCCTTAACAGTTGGAATTCGAAATAAGAGTAGGCCGTAGTGTCGCTTCGCGGGCAAAATTTCCCTCATACCACACTGTATGGCGTATGCCCGTCTACATTATCCCAGTCGGAACAGAAAAGTAGGACGTTAAACCGCAATTCATTATATTATATTTCAGATCTCGATGTAAGTCCCATTTCGTTTCATTTAATTTTTGGTTTATTTTCGTATTTGTTTTAACTATTTTAAATAACCACACAACATTCTTGTTTTATAAATAAATATTTCACTGAACTAGCGGGCATGTCGCATTGGTATACACATGTAGGTAAGGACACTAGGTCGTAAATGAACCTTGCATTGGTGAGCGATATTATAACAGACATTTGATAAGATCAAATTATGTACATGTATATAATCTGGGTTTAAAATACTTTATACGCACGTCTCGTACTAGATATAAATGTGCTCAAACACGAAGTTGGTTAATCGGGCATTGGCCTGGTTTAAATAAATCTATCGCCAAATTACATTTGTATGTTTCAGGTTGGCTTTATGACATTACAGAATCCTACAATCTCGCTTATCATTGTGCTGGTAAGTCATGTTTTGAAAAGAGTTTCTAACATTTCTTTTTACAAAGGCAGTTCAAGGATGACTGTTTTGACAAAAATGTGGATTTAAAGTTGTATCATTTCATGAGGGCGACACGTACTCTCCATATTTGGATCCAGACCAATAAAACATGAATAGCGATAGCGTATGGATGGAACGAAAAATAAGGTCCCATGTACACCTTGGTGTGCATGTTAAAGATCCCATGACAGTTGAAATTCAATTGCAGTTCTACGTATATTAGTGGGGTTTTATATTATTTTTATGTAATAATATAGCAAGAAATCGCAGCTCGGGTCTGTTTTCCTTTGACAGTAAGACTGATCAGTGTTATAAACATCAGTTTAGGTCGAATCGAATTTAAACAAAATGTGACAAAAGTCGGTCTTAACAACTACTGCAATTTTTATCAAGCTTTCTGAACTTCGATAGTGACCTTTGTTAAATGTAATTCAAAAAAGGAATCGAGTCACTGTAAAACGCAAATCGACTGAATAGTGATTTTTGTTAACAGTTTGACAAATGGGGGTTCAGTTAATATAAACGATGGTGTAGACTGCATCGAGTTGATTGTTGTATTGATTTCTTCAAATATCTCGCCCACCCCACATGTGGTATCAAATTAACCAACATTACCCTGTGAATGTTTTAGGCAAGATTTAGGAAGGTCAGGATCATTTATTAGTTTAGCAGAGCCTAAAATGTATGCTGGACTGTTTTACTGCAATTAACAGAAGAACAGAACAGAACTTTATTCACAACTCAGATCAAATACATGACATGTGATAGGTTATTTACATATTTACAAGACGGGGGCTTTTAATTTCTTAGTCAATGGACATAAATTTGTTAAGTATTATCTTTAAAAACATACATAATTTTATAATTATTGATTGTTTGCTTGAATTAAAAAAATTATTATATTTAAAATTATTAGGTCTTGTATAATAATATCTGGATATATATTTTTCGCGTTCTTTAATAAAATAAGTACAATTGAAAAGGGCAGTGATATTCATCGCCGACTGTATTTACTTCACATAAAGGACAAATTCTTTGTTCAAAATCTACACTCGTCCATCTCCCGACCTCAACAGGGAGTCTATGGTTACATGTTCTATATCATGTAAAAGTATATTTATAATTATTCGGCAATGAGATAAGATACTGTTCTAATTTAAATTCGGTCTTATAGATTCTATAATTAACAGATTTATTCGATTTCTGGATATTTGACGACCAGGTTTGAATATACTGATCTTTTAGTCGTTGTAACAATTCATATTTCAGTTTAACTGGATTTCGCGCAAGTTGTGAGTTCCATACATAACTATATCCACATTCGTCAAGAGTATTTTTGATAGTCATTAGCCATTTATTAGTACGATTTACATCATTTTTTAACAGAGACTTATATAATAACAAAGAATACTTGCCAGTTTTACCACTTGTCATTTTAATCCAAAAGCTAACCATTCTATGCTTAATATAAATATTTAAAGGGTATCTCCCAGTTTCACCATATAACATATACTGAGGGTATTTCTTAAAAACTTGTTATGGATAGTTTCTATTGGGGGGTAATTCCCCAAATCCCCACATTTCACAACCGTACAGTAAAATCGGCAATATAGTATGATCAAAAAGTTTAAGTTGACAGTCAATTGGCAGATTGAGATTATGGATCCTCGAATACAAGAGGTATAGAGCTTTAGAAGCCTGCTTTTTAATTATTTGTTGCGCTTGCGCGAAGCTCCATCCTTTAGAGAATACAACGCCCAGATAATTATATGAATCACATATTTCTAAATCATGATTTAGTAAAGAGAAAGTTGCATTAGACTGACCTCTCGATCCAAAAATCACTACCTTGGTTTTATTTATGTTTACATTTAGTTTCCATAGAGTACAATATTCACCAAATATATTTAGCAATTTGTTCATATCATTTACATTGTCAGCAAATAATAGTATCATCAGCATATAGAAGTACAAATATTTTTAGATAGTTTAAAAGTTCATTTTCATAGTATTCTATTTGAACGCCTTTACAGTCATGTTTTAATAAAAAAAAAAGATTCGAGATCATTTAAATACAGTGCAAATAAAAGTGGGGTGAGATTTTTTTGGGAAAGGCTTCAGATATTTTGTTTTTATATTTCACAGAGGACTTTATGTCTTGATACATGTTGTAAATAGCATTAAAACATTTACCATTTATTATGTCAATTAAGTGTAATAATAGTAACGGATGATGTAAGGTAGCGGGAAAAGCGTACAAAAAAATGTCGAGGAAGCCGGGTTTCGAGCTAGTTATTAATAATGCAGAGGATGCTTTTATAGCTGATATATAAAAAATAACGTAATCCAAGGGAAGTAACTCCTTCATTGCTGCTGAACTGAAACGTTCATTTATGAAAAAAATCCCACCCCCATCAGTTATGATCTTGCGGCGGAAGGTTAAGGAAGTAAACAAACATGGGCTGAAGAAATCACCTACAAAAATGGCAACAGATCCGAAAGATTTCTTTAATCGAAAGTAGCAAAAAATGGATATGGTCAACACCCTTCGATATGTTAAAGATTGTGACATGTTGGGCTTTATGTGATTATAAGAATTAAGAATATTCACAAAAGGGTTATGCGCCACGAATAGGTATGGACTTAACATGGAAAGTCAATGTTTGTCGTAAATTATATATTCCTTTCATTCCAGGATTTGTTATTTTTGCTGGGTCATTTTTTGTTCTTATGGTACAAATTTTGGAACCAATGTCTTTCACGAATGAACTTTCTCCGGAGCTAGTCGTAGAAATTGAAGAAATAAAAACTGATAAAGACAACTGAAGCCTATATATGAATATTTGTTTTTATACATGTATATTATATAAATTTTGTTTATTTTTTGAACCCATCATTCTGTTATATTTGTGTACGAAAATGCTTAATAAAATGAATTAAACATATGTTGTTATTTGCATAATCATTATTATTAATTTTGAATTAACTTTAATGATATTAGGATGCTTATCCTATCTCGAAAGCCTGTTCCCGTTCTCGGGTATCTACTACCAGTAGCTTCAGCTTTTGAAACCCAGATACTGTTAGTGTTAGCTATAATTAGTAATGGATGTCCATACCCAATCTCACACTTAACACTGCTGTAAAGGAAGCAAATTTCTGTTCCAAATTATGACTGGTCAATGGTCCGATTAACAACCAATAGCTAACTGCGTAACAATATCATTACGCTTTAAACAGGGCTCCCAGTTGGACCAAATATGTTTACATAACGTTACGTCATGACTCACGATTTTATTATGCCCACTTAACCAGTGCATAGCAAAATATTTCAGAAAAACTAATTGCATGACAAACGAGGCTATCAAAACGAATACAATGTGGAGACGAACAACACTTTCACCGTTTTTAATACCTTAAATCACTGTCCAGAGTTTTAGGGAAGACCCCAGATTAAACGAAGGGCTGTCATGTTGCTGCTGTACTTTAGATAGATTTGATTAAACTGGAAGAATAGACACACTCCCTCAAAAGTATCAGAAGGCAATCCAGCAATGGCCACAGAGGGATTTCTCGGGCCATTGCTTCAGAAATATGTGGATATCGTACATGCAGCAAGGTATGCTTAATCTTTCACACTGGATCGCATATGTTCCTGTATCTTCTAATATTGAAGTGGCATACATTGATACCGAAGCTGACAATGCAATCAGAACTCTTCGGCGGGGGCGTACATAACGATTTTGTTACTGAGTGGGAGGGAGGTAGAAGCAAATATGAGACCGATTGATGGCAAATGCTCCTAGTACGAGTGACACGGTCTGGAGCCGAGATCCATAGGTACGGGTTTTCTAGGGGCCAGAAGCGGATCTAGAAGCTGAGAATAGCGGGTGAGGCGGCGGTTCCAAATCTAGGACGCCATCCACAATCCCACTCCACAATGAATGTCAACAAAATAATGGCTATAACACTTCGCGTCCCGGTACAACATAGATAGTATTGCCTATATAGTTGTTCGCCAATCGTTATCTCACCGGAAAACAGTTTGATTTAAGTTGACATAAAGTTCATGGCATATATGTTGATTGTTATTCATTATATTTATGTGAACCTTGTATGAATATAATAGTGCTGAGACAGTATAAGACAACAGAGGAGTGGAAAAATGACATCATAATGAAATCTGTTTTGTTCTTATTTTAATAAGAATTACTGTTTGATTTACAAAGCACTAACTAACTTGGCCAGGCCATGTTTTATTAGTCTAGATTAACCAATACAGTTATTACATCACAACTGTGACAGTATGATGTAACTTGACCTAAATAGAGAGTACTGTAGAAGTTAAAGGGCTACAGACACTTAGTTGCTTTCATGCAGATTCTATACCATTACATCTCCCTTCCTTTAAAGATTAATAATATTCATTACATAAACTATAAGCTTAGCTAACACAACATGGTTAGATTGATTTCCTATTAATTAAATATTAAACATTCAAACTCTGTAAATAAGAACTCCAACAATAATTTTTTAAAAACAAATTGTCTTTATAAATTTTACAGTTCCTCTGTCAGTCTTCTTGGAGCACGGACGTTTCTTTAAGACCTTCGTGAAACATTTTCGTTTCGCTGTTGCGCATTAACATTTTCACGTTCCAAATTATTTGGCATAGGATTTGGATTATTGAATTGAATGAAATCATCATCATTATCAAAATCATATTGAACTTTATCGCGAAACACAAATGGTTTACGGAATTCACATTTTAATAGATCTTTTCTATTTCTACGATATTCTACACGATCACTTGTCAAAACAATATATGACCTCGGAGCTACTTTGCGTTGCACTATAGCTCGCATTGACCACACTTTATTCACATTGTCACGCATGTGCACACTATCACCTTGAATCAACTTTGGCAATTCTCTTACGCGTTTATCATAATTCATTTTCTGCTTCCCTTTCCTTTCCTCCCTTTTCTTTTTGAAATTCTTGGCAGGTTTCGGATATAACAGTTTCTCTTTAATTGGTAAATTTGATCTCAATCGCCATCCATATAACATTTCACCAGGTGATTGACCATTTTCTAATGGAGTTGATCTGTATATGTGTAAACCCATATAAAAGTCACTTTTATCTTCAACAGATTGTCTGCGATATCACCTCGGTGGAAGCGGACGTAAAATACAACTAACTCATCAATAGATTTCTTTAGCAGAGTTTTGACAATACCAACAGCTTTCTCAACAAGCCCATTTGACTGGGGAAGATGAAGTGAGGACGTTGAAATTTTAAATTCATAGCTTCTAGCCAAGTCCTTATACTGTCGACTACTAAATTGAGTACCGTTGTCTGAAAAACTTCTCTTGGAATAGCATCATGATTCGAAAAAGCGCGCTTTTATTGCCATTGAGTTTTTACCAAGGACTATGTTCAAATTTTACCCAGTCGCCCCAGGGGCAAGAGAAAAACAGAGAACAATGACAGAACTTTATATATTATTCTTATGAGTCCAACATAGAATTCTTTCTCATTTCATTGATTAGGTCGTCGTGCTAGGCTGGTAGCGAACTCACAATACTCGTATTGCGCGTTGATCTGGACGCCTGTGGAGGAGACGTGCGTAACAGTACACTTACTTACCGGAAGTTGTGTAATGAGGTGGCGTGCATGCAATTTTCAATTCACTATAGAAAGATTATTTGAAGAAATTTAAAAATTATATGATTTTGAATGAAGAAATGATTTTCCGCGTGTACTTTTTGACATGACAAGTATTTCCCAACTTTTATAGTGCGACCTATACTCTCGGCGGATTAAGACTGATGGCGGTAAACTGGTGATGATAAACTCATCTACACCTACGGTATCAGTGAATGGCAGTACGAAAGTTCACTTTCAGTATAAAATCGAGGATGAATACTCAGTTTGATAAATGATGAAATTTATGGGATAATTAACAGTCATTTTCTATTTATCTATTTAAAGAGAGACCCCCACCGAACGTAGTAATAGCACCCCCCCACACACACACACACACACACACACACACACACCGCCGTCCAAAAATATTAACACATGTTTTATATATTTTAAAATTTGAACTTGATAAATCTATTCTTAATGTTCAAATTTACATTCACTTGTACAGGGTGACCCCAAAATAACAGAACACATAAAATTTTTATTAAATGCTTCAGATGTCCAGCAAATTACCTCCCAATTACCTCCCTTGTTTTCCTATTCTCCACCATGGAATAGCTATCTTCAAATTTGAAGTTGAAAATGATATTTTTGCCAATTTCTCAACTGGCAATAGTGAATTATAGGATTAATAGGATTATTCTTTAACAAGGTAGGACTGTTTATAGATACCATCTATTTTAGGGCTTTATTTTAATACCTTTTAAAAATATAACTTAAAAATATGAAATTGTAACTTTAACCGTATGATTCAATGCACAAGACTTTCCACCAGGAATGACCTCAAATGCTAGGATATTGACTCAATTTTTCAAAATTTTCTCAGGTTGCTCAGTGTTATAGGCACAATCATCATATATGGCATAAACTTTGTGTCAACTTAAATAAAACTGCTTTCCTACGAGACAACGATCGGCGAACAACTATATAATTATACAATACTGTCTATGTTCTACTGGGACGCTTAATGTTATAGCCAGTATTTTGTTGACATTCATTGTGGGGTGGGATTGTGGATGGCGCCCTAGATTTGTCATTTTATTTAAAATGAATGGTAGTATAAATAATGTTAACCTTTTGGCTTTTCGTAATGTCATACACTTTAAAGCGGCATATTATGACATTTATTTTACAAATATATCGCTAAGTAGTATTTTTAAATATGAACACTACGAGTATATTCAATAGACTGGGGAACACTGACTAAAGTGGATTATTAAATATTGAGTTATTTATTGACCGAGCGGTATACCTATTTGCTATAAACCGTGTTGGGTTCACCAATAGGCTTGGCAGGCTAAAGACTGGGGCCCCAAGATCTAAGGGACCTCCGACTAAAGTGTATAATATGTTTGACACTGTCAAAACACGCTTTCATCTTCCTATAGTCATGAGGTTGGGGGATTTGGAGGGGCCTCACAAGTGGAATAATCTAGGGTCTCTCTAGATCTAAATCATAATTATAAAACATAATGTGTTAACTGGGTCTAACATAACAAAGATGCAGCACAATGCAACACAATAGTTTGAAATTTGAACGTTAAGTTATATTTAAAGCATAGTTTTCACGAGTTAAAGAGGTTAACAACAGAGACCGTATGAATCGTATTATATATGACTTGTAACATTGACACCTGCTCAATATGCTCGCTGTTACTGCACAGAAAACCCCACCCCACTTCTCTATATGATTTCAGCTAAAACTGGCGTAAACCAGCAAATGTGTGCAATAACATTGAAAATGTCAAATTATCAGGGAAACCAAAGGAAGATTCCTTGCCCATGATTATCATTCTTTAGCACTTTACATCTCTAAATAGTGCTCTTGGATAACCGTTTTGTTTCTTTGCAGATGTACAAAACTATAGATTAATCTTTTACTAATCTATATTACTAATCTGGAACGTCTGCTTACCCCCCCCCCCCCCCCAACCCCACACAAAACAAAACAGTTATCCAAGAGTGAAAGATGTAAAGTGCTGTGATAATCAACATTACCACATATCCACCCCATTGGACCGACCACACCCAAATCCCTACCCGCATATCTCGGCAAAACCCCCTTATTCCCAAAATGACCCATCTGTCTCTTACCACTTGATAAGGTCGTCTGTCAAACAAGGTGGGTTTTCTCGGGTCCCCCGGTTTTATCTCACTGTTAAACACCCCTTCGCGCAAACAAGTTAATGGAATATTGAACTATTATGTTAGTCCCGAAATCACCTAGTTAGTGTCG